AAATTAATGAAAACAAGAAGGAAAACTACTATATAGCCTATAAGGAATCCTCAAATTAAGCACTGTATTTCACTGGGCTAATAAAGAGGGGAAATTGAACTAACAGAAATAACATTTGCTGAGCACCTTCTAATATATACAAAGAACTATGCTAAATATCAACAAAATAAAATTTTCAAGATGGCAAGGGTGGAGTGAGATAGATGCACAGTAGAAGGAAGAATGGCCAAATAACTCGATTCACCAAAATAAATTCTATGCTAGTATTATTTATTAAAAGAAAAAGTCTTGGGGCTGTGGATGTAGCTCAATGGTAAACTGCCTGCTTAGTATGAGTGAAGGCCTAGGTTCAGTCCCTAACATTGCAAAATAAAAAGAAAAACAAAACATGACCAAAATCTTAAAGGAGTAGAAAGGGGGAAGGATTAATTCTGCTTCTACATAAAAGAAAAAAGCTTTCATGTTCCAAAAATGGATACGAAACATTTCATAAGCTAACATATAAAAAAAACAAAGCTAAGCTGCTTTATTTAAATTTACATTTTTCCTGTGTCCTTTTTTTTCTTTTCTTTGGTGGTGCTGGGGACTGAACCAAAGGCCTTGAACGTGCTAGCCAAGTGCTCTACCATTGAGCACAACATCCTTAGTCTATCGTCCAATTCGAAAAAAAATTACTTTTGGGTGGGTAATATGTGTTTAAAAAATCATAGATACAAGGAAGTGTCCATTAATTAATTAATTTGACAAATACTTGTTATGTTACTTTTACTGAAGAACAAAAAACCAATGTAAATGTTGGGAGTTGGTGGCTCACTCCTGTAATCATAGCAGCTTAGGAGTCTGCAATCAAGAGGATCAGGGTTCCAGGCTGGCCTGGGCAAATAGTTTTAATTAGACCTCATCTCCAGAACAGCCACAACAAAGTGGACTGGTGATGTGATTCTAATGGTTAAGTGCCTGCTTTGCAAGCATGAAGCCCTGAGTTCAAGCCCCAGACCCACAAATAAATAAACAAACAAAAAAAAGTGATGGTTTTGTTTGACAAAAACTTTGGCCTCTGTCCCTGGTTTGTGGGAGTTTCTAAACCCTTGGAATTTCCTGATAGGAGTGTCACTTAATCATGGTGGGCACTCTGACTACTCTTGGGTTTATGATGAGGATGATTCAGGATGTGGGCTGGTCATGCTGTAAAGACCAATCATGTGATTAAAGATTTTAAGCCAAGTGTTATTAGCCAAACCTTCAGAATGGGTGGGGACTAGAGTATGAATTCAATCATGTCTAAATAATGAAACTCCAATAAAAATTTTGGATACTAAGGATTGAGAGATTCCTGATTTGTGAACACATCAATGTACTGGGAGAGTGACATGCTTTGATTCTATAGGAAAGAAAACAGAGAAGTTCTAAGACTTGGCCCCATGTGTCTTCATTTGGCTGGTCCTGATTTATATCCTTTATAGTAAAACTGTTATTGTAACTATCATACTTCCTGAGTTCTGAGACTTGTTCTAGGGAATTATTATTAAACCTGAAGGGGCCATGGGACTCTTCTGAATTTGTAACCACTGACACAGTACAGGAAGCCTGGAAATCCTGCAAACCTGTAGCAGATGTCTGAAGTGAGGGACTAGTCTTATTGGGACCATGCCCTTGTGGAGTCTGTGATAACCTTGCATAGTTTCATCAGAACTGAAATGAAGATGGGAAGCTATAAGAAAAATGATATGGGACTGGAGGTGTGGTTCAAGCGGTAGAGCACCCGCTTTGCAAGTGTGAAAGCCCTAAGTTCAAACCCCAGTTCCACCTTTACTCTCTCACCCACAAAAAAAGAAAAAAGAAAAAAAAGAAAAATGACCAATTTCTACAATGCATGGAGAGAAGAGACTGAAGAGGGGCAAGAGCAGACTCCAGGAGATGGATAGGAGGCTACTGTAGTATTCTGCAGATTAGAAATGACGGTGGCTTAGACTCAGGTATTTGGGATAGAGATGGTGAGAAATGACTGAATTTATTCTGATTCTAAAGCCCACTATATTTGCAAGAGAATTGGATTTAAGGTTTCTGTTTCTTTTTTGTGGGTCTGGGGTTTTGAACTTAGGGCTTCACGCTCTTAAAGCAACCACACTTCCAGACCATTTTGCTGTGGGGAATTTGGAGATGGGGCCTGGCTTTGAACCAGAATCCTCCTGACGTTAGCCTCCCAGGATTTAAGGTTTTTTTAATGGCTGCATTCTACGGCTGAGTTATTATCTATGATTGATGAATGTGGTTTCTTACTGATGAATTCTCAGGCTATTTCCCTTTATTTTCTCTGTTATAAATAAGGCTACGGTAAAGATGTTTGCACCTAAATATTGTACTTTTGTACAAGACACTCTAGGAACATTATATTCCTTTGAACTTTGAATGAAGCACACAAATGAAACGCCCTAATTTTGTAAAGTCCTATTTTTGCTTCAAAATTCATATATTTCTTCATTTCTTATTTAAAATGACTACAGAATTCTAAGGAGTTAAAAGGGAAAGGACCCTTATGGTTCTCAATGTGGGAGGATTTAGACTCTCTCCACCTCTTGACACGCTGGGAAAATGAGGAGAGCTGTCCAAGGTACTCTAACTGATCAAGATTCAACCACCCAGAATAGCTTATCCCACCTAATACATTCACTTCACAGAAGAGGAAAAATTAAAACACACATCATACAGTGACAGGCCAGGAACTAGAGACCTCATCTATTCTCAATGCCAACAGTACAATGTCTGAGCACATCAATTTCTTCCAACCCTTGAGAACATAAGGTATGACCATCACATTTTTAGTTTGCTAATTTATTAGACAAAACATGTATCTCACCATTGTTTATGCAATGATTTATTACAGAAATTTATCTGAGCTCTCTTAGAAGAAGACAGCTGGGATTTTTGCAGTCATTTATCGGAAGGGAAAAATAAATTACTTGAAAAGAGGTTGTTTTAATAACAATAAGCTTTTTGACTAATTTCAATCATGATCTTACCATATTCTGCTCTCAGTTCTAAAGAAGGCACTACTAAAGCTGAAGAATAGGGTTTTTTCATTGCTTCTACTTATACTTAATCTATAGACATGGATGATGGAAAACCACTACATTTTAGTTCTTTCCCCATACACCTTAAGAAAATTTTCTATTTCCTTTGTTAGAATCAACATTACAGTTCCTGAAAATTGCACCATTACAGTCATCAGATGGGATGGAAAACAGTTATTAATGGCTTTTACAGATACTCTTCTAAGGACTTCTCACATATTAATCTTGCTTAATCCTCCACAACCAAGAAGGACTGTTATGAGGCACAGAAAGGTTAAGAAACTTGCTCAAGTTTACATAGCTAATAAGAGGCAGAGCCAGGATGTGAACACAACGCAGCCTTTCTCCAGAGCTGGTGCTGTACATCACTAAACACAGTGCAAGTTGGTCCCAGTTCACCTTTCCTGCTCCATGTTTTGCCTATCCTGCTCATGAGTTCAGAAAGCATTCTTCACAACCTACCCCCAACTTAGCCATGTAAGAGACCATTCCCATCACAGCTTATATACTCTAAACCTATACCTGCAGGATTGTATCTCAATATGCTATAGTCTCTATCCTTGATAAACTATAAATTCCCTGTAGACAGGAACTGTTTCCTATCTTTCTTTGACTCTCTAACACTCCAATGTATATACCCTGTGTGCTACCATGTCACAGAACTTACACTACCTTAAATATTACATCTGCCTTTAGGCTGCTTTCTTCTCCTTTCCTCTTTCTTCATTTTTGTTTTTTTAAAGAGACAGGGTCTCCTTATGTAGCTAATGCTGGCCTCAAACTTGCCATCTTTCTGCCTCAGCCTCCAGAGTGGATCAAACCCAGGGCTTTATTCATGCTAGGCAAGTGCTCTAACACTGGGCTACATCTGTAGCCAGCCTTTTTATTTTTCTGACTGGCAAACCCCTAATCATTTTTGAAGCTCAGTTCAGACAGAGAAAAAAGGAGGATTAATAGACTAATTAAGAAAATCACTTTTTCTTCTTTGACACTTCCACCATGCCTGGAAGAATTAATTATTTCCTCCTCTATGCTCTCACAGTGTTTTTTCTAACCCCACCCTAACAGTTTCTGAGCTTTGTTATAATTATTTCTGTAGATAATGAATTCTTGCCACAGACTATCCACTCTTCAATATAAGGAGAGTGTCCTATTAAGCTTTGCGTCTCAATGTCTATCTAGCATCATGCCTGGTCCCCACTGACCTTCAATTTGTGGGATGAATAAATGAATGTTGAAACAACATGAAGGTACAAATAAAGTTCTTCCAGGAGGAACAACTGACCTACCATAAAACAGCTAGCAGTATCAACTCCATCTAGGAAAGCAGAAGTAAAGACTATCAATGATACTTTTTTCGTAGAATACTACAAGTCTTCAAAGGAACTCACTTTAAGTAGAAAAAAAAAGAGGTGAAGGCAAATAAAAATGGAGCATCTGATGACTAATATGGATGAACCAATATCTAAGCTATGATAACCAAATCTTTAAAATGAATCTCAGTTTAATATAACTGTCAAATCATCTGTTCAAATGTTCCTGGGGATGAATACAACCGTGCTGTCTCTGCATGATAACGAGGGAAAACCAAGATAGTCATTTTCACTGCATTCTTACAGAATAGCTTCTTCAAAGATCTGTGATGATTTGAGGAGAGTATGAGCATTCAGTCTTATCAAAGACTTATCTTACAGGACACTGGTGGCTCACACCTATAATCCTAGCTACTTGGGAGGCTGGGATAGGGAAGACTGTGGTTCAGGGCCAGACTCAGTAAATACTTTATAATACCCTATCTCCAAAATAACCACAGCAAAATGGACAGGAGTGTGACTCAAGCAGTAGAGTACCAACTTTGCAAGCTTGAAGCCCTGAGTTCAAACCCCAGTCCCACCAAAACAAAACCAAACAAATAAACAAAAGACTTACCTCAGGAACTCTTTGCTCTGTTCCCACACATCTTGGGTCTCTTCTTCTGTCATGTGCTTGTCCAAGTTACGTACATTAGGTTTCTGGGAGTATAACTTCAGGCACTGCTTCACCCAGTGCCACTGGTACCCTGGCAGGAAGGGGTTTGGGATAAAAATAAATCCTATACAAAAGATGGGTAAAAAAAAAAAAGGGTGGGGGAAGGGAATTCTTCATCAGTTATTCAGGTAATTTGTTTTTGTTCACATTCTTGTACCCATTATTCTGTCATTTACTTTGTCTATCCCTTTATGCTTCAATTTAACGAAAAGCTAAGTTTTGATGAACATCAGATACCTAAACATATGCAAACATCTCTGGCTTTTTGGGTTATTCTCAAGAGAAACAAATATTCCACAATGTTAGCTGTCACTTGTGTTATCCCAAAGACTTTAAAAGTGAAAGTGCCAAAAGTCCACCCTCTTAATTTTCACCAGTTGTCACCATTTATGGTCACCTAAGATTTCTCTATCCTTATTTCATTTACTGTAGACACAGAAAGCTGAACTCTTATACTGAATTTAATTATAGATTTGAAAGTCTTCATCTAATGCACAGAGCATTGGTTATTAATGCGTATTGTCTTAACTTCAGTTCCATCTTTCTATATTTGGCATAACAGTGTGGGGCTGGGGCCTGCCAAGTATAACTCTTCTTTGCCAGCTGGCTCCCTGCTAATTTATGCTTATAGGGGACACCAACAGATGATCGGAGGGCAGAAGTTGATTCCAATGTAGTTTTTTCACATTAGAACCAGTCTCATTAGGCTTCTTCCTCAGAATTCTAAAGAAGAATTCCTGCCAGGTATAGAGGCTCATTATACCTGTAATTCCAGGACTCGGGACAGAGACAAGAGGATTGCGAGTTTGAGACCAGCCTAGGCTACATGGAGAGACCCTGTTTCAAAAAGAAAAAAAAAGTGAACAAAAAAAACCCCCAAACAACCCCTCCCTACAAAAAAAAAACCCCAGAACTGTAAGTTTTGATTGCAGGGGCCGTAGCTTACTGGCAGAGTACTTGGCCAGCAAGCATCTCTGGGGTCAGTCCTCAGCATTGCAAAAGTTGGGGAAAAAAGAATTCTAAGGCCCAGCTCCATGTGGCTTCTCTTCTAAGATTCTAAATTTAAGAATTCTACATTCTTCTGCTAAAAGGGTGATGGCTGCTTCCTGCAGTTACTACCTCCGTGATATCTCAATGTCTACTTGTTATCTTTTTAGTTTTCTATTTCTTTTGAGTGGGTGGGACTGATGTTTCAACTTAGGGCTTTGTGTTTGCAAAGCAGGTGCTCTACTTCTTGAGCCACACCTCCAGTAAGTTTTCCAATTCTTGAGTAACAGTTTTTAAGTACTATATGTCATATTGATTTCTGCTTCCTGGCTGATACCACAAAGAAGAATGATGGCATACACTTCTCATTATGGAGTGATGCAACTATAGCATGTGTGTTGGAAAGATCCTTATGACCTCAACAGTAATCTAACCTGTTATTACTTTACAAAGACCAGTAACAATATTTTAAGTGGAATCCTGTGCATTGTAGACATTCATTCATTCATCAAACATAAAACCAATACACACCATGCACCAGGCACTTTCTTAAGAATTAGAAATAAAGAAATGAAAAACTTTGGAGAAAGTGAAGTGCTTGTAGATAGGAGAGGTAAGAAGGCTATATAAGCAATCCCTTTTAGAAGCCCAGCTATGAGAGGAAAAAATGCTAAGGAGTAATAGTCATAGACCCATGAAGAATTAACATGGGAGTTTTATGGTTTTATTTCTTCTGTGGGTGTGGGGTTTGAATTTATGGCTTTGTGCTTGTAAAGCAAGTGCTCTACCACTTGAGCAAGACCTCCAGTCCTATGGTTTTATTGACTGGCAAGACAAGCATGCTTATAGATAGTGAAGAGCCAGTAATGAGGAACTGGTTGAAAATAAGAGAGGAAAAGAATATAGAGTATGTTCTTGAATGAGATAAAAGGTAAGATCAAGAGGTGAAGAGATGGGCTCTGAACTTAAGAGAATTCTTCTTCTTCTAAATTAGAGTAAGAGTGAGAACATTTGCTTTTAAATGTGGGGGCCACTGGGAGCTTAAGGAATTTGTGCCTGATAGATGCAATTTTTCCAATCAGATAAACAACAAGGCCATCTTAGCAAAAAGAAAGTATGGCTTAGGAAGGGTTCTGAGAAACAAGGAGGAATCAATGAAATTATACAGAAGGCAGTCATTATCTATTAGTGTAGTGCCCCCTTGCAAAAAGATACTAAAATCAGTTGAACAGACAAAAACTTAAGGATTTCTGAGTTAAATACTGGGCATAGTTTGAACGTCTTCAATGCCTGGTTGGACTCCAGATCTAGTCTAGGTAACAGGCCAACAAACTGTTTTTGTCAAGGAGTAGACAGTAAGTATTTTAGGCTTTAAGGTCATTTGTTCTCAAGAGCACTAAACTTTTGCCACTGTAGCAGCAAAGTAGCCTTAGGCAGTAAGTACATAGGTGTGGCTATATTCCAATCATACTTACAAAAACAGGTGAGATGGTTTGGTCTCTGACTGTAGTTTGCCAAGTCCTGGTCTAGACATTTAACAAAGACAGCACATACAGGGAGAACTGCTTTGCAAAGTAGACAGTAAAGACAAGATTGAGGCCACCAGAAAAACAAGTTTAGTATTATTAAATTACTTCTTTTCCCTTCAGTATTTAATTTAAACATATAGTAATATTGGTAAGGTTTTCTATTTTTCTCTTTTTTTTTTGGTGTGGCACTGGGATTTGAACTCAGGTCTTACACTTGCTAGGCCACTCAGTCAGCCCCACCTCCCGCTTTTTTTTGTGGTGGGTATTTCTGAAATAGGGTCTTGCTTTTGTTGCCCAGACTGGTCTTGAACTGCAATCCTCCTCTGCCTCCTGAGTAGCTAGGATTACATTTCTAAGCCACCAGTGCCTAGCAGTAACAACAAAGTTTATTAACAGCTATTAACAATAAATAAGTTCAGCCTTAAGTCATTAACAATGACTACTAGTAAACTTACCTACTAAAAATAACTGGATGCCTACCAAGTGTCAGACACTGTGCTAGCAATCTTATGCTATCTCATTAATCTTTCATAACTCTACAAGGAAGTTATTAATCCAGTTTTACAGATGAGAGAACCAAGGTTCAGAGAGGTAAAATGGCTTTGCTGACTCCCTCTCTTGGAGGTCTACAGCACACACTTGAGAGACAAGGTTGAGTTTGTGATCATGGAACAAACAAAAGCTTTAAACCCTCACAGGCAACAAACCCAAGATTTTTGCCTTATAAAAATTAGGCTCTAACCAAATGAGCCTTTCAACAATAATGGTCCACTATCTGAATTAGAAAGAGATTTTAAACCACAGGAGGTTTGGCAGAAAAGAATTTGTGCTGACATAGTAGAAATACATAGAAAATAACCTAAAGATTCCTCCACAGTAATAAATATTACTTAAAAATTCTGTCTAGAAAAAAAAAATCTAGACACTTAGAGATGTGCACTGAGAACAGGCTGTTAATTGCAATTGATTTACCTGTTTTTCCATTTAATATTATCAAAAGTATATACTCTGAACTAAGCATAATGATGAAAGTTAGTTACTTATTGGCACCAAGGAAATCTCACACAAGAAAGACTTTATTCACTAAAAAAAAGATAACGGTAGTGGTGGATTTCATTATTTAGACAGATTGTATTAATGCAGGAGAAAAGAGAAAATCATTGTAAAAGGGCAATAAACATGTTTAAAGGATTAATTATGGAAATTCATGTTAATGGTCATCTGCCTTAACCACTAATTCAGTTCTTTTTATGTCCTCTAAAACATTTCCAAACAGTAGAACCAAAGTAAGGGCTCCTACTTTTGCAGAAAAGTCCTGCAAATTGGAAGAGTGATAGGAAAGTCAGTATTTTTTTTGGGGGGGAGGATATGAAATACCCTTCCCCCACACAACCTATCATCTGCTATCATGATTATTAAAAAAAAAAATACAGAATATTAGGACATGTCCCAAAATATTCAGTTTAAAAGAATGCTTACGATCTAGTTCAAGCTTGAATAGTGACAGGAAATTTAATACCTCTTTAGGTAGCCCGTTTCACAAGCTATAACATTGTTTTCCTTTTATTGACTTAAAAATCTGCTTCCCTTTAATTTTCATGCATTAGGCTTGGGTTCTGACATCTACAGCAACCTCAAATCAGTTTTTAGATGTTCCCAAATGATGTGGCAGGAAATCCTAGAAAGTCTCAAAAAGTAGATAAAAAACCTCAAAAAGCAGGTAAACCAGTTTGAACCAATCAAAACCAAAATGGGGCTGATAACTTTGTAGTCTGAGTCATCTGCTAAGAGAAGAAGGCCTAGAACAACAGAAAATCATGGCCTTGAAAACAAGTGCTAGGGCTGAAAGTTAAAGAGCCACCTCCAAAGGAATAAGTGCATAAAACACTGCTCTACATTTACCCAAACTCACAGTCATGCTTTCATATATAAAAGCATCACTTAATTGTTTCCTTAATGACTTGATATAAAACCAAAGTACATGAAGCCTTTTACAGAAATTTTGTGGCTGTTACATTTTCCCATGTTATTAACAAACATTTTAGTAGCCATAACATACTAAGAGTAGTGGCACAAATAGTCTCGGCCCTTGGCATAAAGAAAACGATTTCTTTTTAAGAGTTCTCTCACTTTAAACTCATATTTGAAATTGCAAGCACAACATAAATTTTTTATCTTTTAGAAAGCAACAGCCAGGTGTTGGTGATGCACTTTAGCAATCCTAGCTATATGGGAGGCTGAGGTAGTACAACTGTTTGAACTCAAAGAGTGCCAGACCAGCCTGGGCAACACAGATCCAACAACAACAGAATGAAAGAGGATGGCAGATATAAATGATTTGGCCAATAAGGCACTTCTGCATCTTCTAAGTGGCTTATAATGTTCTACAATAGCCCCAAGACATTACTCACTCTTATTAAATAAGTATTACTTTTTTTTTTTCCAGCAGTATCGGGGGCTGAACTCAGGGTTTCCCAAATGCTGAGCCACTCCACCAGCCCTTTTTGCTCTGGTTATTTTTAAGATAGGGTCTTGCTTTATGCCCAGGTCAGCCCGGACTATAATCCTCCTACTTCTCCATGTTAGGGATGACAGTGCACTCAGCCACTGGTTGAGATGGGGTGTTAAGAACTTTTTGCTCGGACTGGCCTGGAACTGCAATACCCGAAGTCTCCAATCTCTGCTAGGATTATACCTTGCTTGGCTACCCCACTCATCTTAATTTCTCTATCTGTAAAGTAAGCTACCTGACATAACAAATTAAAAAAATCTAAACTATTTAGTCTATTACAACTTTTGATCCCACTAACCCCAATGCTTCTTTCAAATCTTCAGCCTTGATAGCAGTAAGTTTTAAGCTGTTTTGCCATTTGAGAATGTGAGTGAATTATTCTATTACTTAAACAAATTCTTCTGGCAAAGTACACGTTCAGAGTCCTGGCAGGGAGCCCAGTCAATGTCTTTATTTTTATTTGTTGTGACTTTCAGCCATGTAAGGCAGGCACTGTGATTCTTACTCTGTCCTATGGGAACACAAACAAATGAACACCTTTTGAGAGTAGAAAATTTATGTGTTTAGTTTTCTCCTTTGTTTATTTACTTGCTCACAGTTTCTCCTATGAAATTAGAGAAATGACTTAACTTCATTTCTTTGAGGTCAGGTGCACTCACCAGGATAGCCTTCGAGTCCATAGGCTCGCCACTTGCTGACTGGCTGAAGTCCTGCCCTGTGTGCATTGTGCTCACTGACTGAGGACACACTTAGCTGAGATCTAACCACCTGGCAGGAAAGAAACAGAAATCAGAGGGCTAAAGCTATTTTGTAGGTCAATCCTGCGAACTTCAAACCTCCAAAGGTATTTCTCACATGGTGTAAAACTAAGAGTATTATGCCTGGTATTCTAATCTTAGCTCCATCACTTACTTGATCTAGGACTTTTAGTTGAGTCACTTCACTTCCTAGGGCCTCAGTTTCTTCATTTAGATTCTAACAAACACTAGACAGTCATACAAAATTAATGTTAAGTGGAAATACAAAAATTTAAGTGGACTGGTTTTGATCTATAAGACTACCTTTTCCTATGAGACCACAACTTGATGACTTAACAGGACTCATGAAAGGTATCTGTTATACTGGAATATCTGAAATCACAATGCTATTTACTCTGGTTAGTGATAAAATACTGTTTCTGAGGCACTTGGTTATGGTTGGTGTTTAAATACAGCTATTGGGAATAGCAGGCTGGGAAGGGCGAGAGAATGGAGAGTGCTCTAACAAGAAAGAAAAAGATGTTTCAATAAAACATTGGGAACCTTATTTGCTAAAAGTATAATATTCATGCTTTTTTTTTTTTAGGTGAAATGCTGATGTTATTTATAACTTTTGCTTTTGTGAACTACTTAGAAGTATTAGGGGTTGATGAAGTTTTCATTGCACAATAAGAGCATCTTATGGATGGCTTATTACATTGGTTAAGAAATCCAATATGCAGACGTTAAGGTAAGGACATTAACTTTGAGTCTTTGCGTAGGTAAATGTTTTCTCACCAACTGTATCTTTAGTTGTTTTAAAACTTTTGTGCAATGAACATACAAAACAGATAAAACAAAAAAGAAAAGGACATTAAGGATAAAAATAATAATCTTAGGGTGTGGTTTGCCACAGAATACATCAAATGTCCTTTTTCAAAGAAAAATGATCTTTCATCTTCTCAACATCTCCAAGTGTGAAGATTTCCTGACAAAACACTAACAAGTGACTGGTACATGATTAGTCTTTATAATAAAATTGCTATCTGGAACCTTAAGTTTTTCAGGTACCTAAGGGCTGATAAAACATTTTGAAAAACATTTTGTCATCACTTCTGAAATAGGTCAAACTTAATACTGCATTATAATTCAATAATACCATCAGAGCTGAAACATGTTCATGAATGTATTCTACATGCTAAACCGAACCAAACTACTGAGCTTTTTTTTACAAAAAAGGTTTTTTTTGCTTTCTCCCTTGCCAGACTGTTAACTATTACTTTCCCCACTGCTCTCATCAGAAGTCTTGTGATAGCAACTTCTCTAATTTGGTTTTAATCTGCTATGAGCTGGGGAACTGAACACCCAAGTTTTCATGAACTCAACATATACTGGATTGAGTGCTCTTTTGAATACTGTGCGAGGTACACAATGTCCCATGCTTTGGGGACTTATATTCTGAACAGTATGTATGCATTATGGCAAAATATAGGTAAATGGAACTGAATGAGGGTTAAAGAATTCTTTTGAGTCAACTCTTATTCTTAAGAGTGCAGACTTTCTGTATGCTATTCTGACACCTCTAAGACCATTTTTGCTAACAAATGTAGTTGCTGAGCTGCTGAGTTCTACACAAATATGGAGTTATAACAGCATTCCAATATTACTGAAAACTCTTACTATGGTTGGAAAGAAGGCCGCATCTGGACATCAGTAAACACCCAGGGCCAATTAAGGGATTACCTATCTTCCCTATTAAAACGACTGTAAAGAAAAATGTAACTGCACTACAGTTGTGCTCCCTCCCTCCACCCTACCTACCATGTTCTCTTAATTTTCAAGGTGGAAAGTAGGAATAAGAAACGTTGTTTGGTTCCTATATATACCCGCTGACTTGGATTATCTCAAAATCCTTCAATGAATTCTCTTTAAACGTTCCAGGGAAGACATAGACTAGTTTTATGTACAACCGTTTAACTGAGAACGTCAGATCCTTCACTTCAGGAATTATCGACAGTTGGTTTGGTTTTCTGAAGCTGCAGAGAGCTACTCTGACGTGTAAGAAGGCGTTTTGAGGGATTTAATTCATAATAAAGCAGAGAGGGAAGTGGACTGTTAAAGGAAGTAGAAACACCAATTCCCAGGTTTTTCGGGCCGCGGCGGCCGCGGGGAACCGCTGCTTCGAAGGCAAAGTGTGACGGATGGTGGGCTATTCAACTCCGCACCTAAGGCGGATGGGAATCACTCAATAATCCGTCTGGCGGCGAAAAAGTCAAGGAAACCCCTTCAAGAAGCGACGCGAGATGATGGTAGGCACGATGCGCTACTCTCTCCGTACCTTGGGGGCATCAGGACCCGTGCTGCGGGCTGCAGAGAAGTCGATAACCCCTCCCAGGTCTGCGGTCCCAGGCCGGCTCTGCCGGTAGAATCGGAAAACTTTCCGAAAGGCGTCCTCTGCAGGATCTGTTGCCAGCGTCGCCACAGAACCCACGACCGCCGCCATCTTCCCCATCTCGCTGCCAGGGCCATCTGACCCGGAAGCGGATCTCCGGACTCGAGGTTCTTCCGGGATCACGACCCCCAGGCCACGGCGGCCCTTCTTTGTAAAGAAAAGATGGCAGCCTCAGTCGTGAGGAGTGCTATGGCGTTGAGAACGAGTGTTGGTCGACCGGTTGCTTTTGTCAGAAAAATTCCTTGGACCGCGGCGTCGAGTGAGTGATGGGAGATGTGGGTGGGACGGAATTTTTAGGTCCAAGCGATTCGCAAAACCTCTGCTTTGTGTATAGCACTTAGGTCAGAGTGGTGTTCGGGTGAAATGCCAAGTTTGCTTCTGAGCAAGCCAATGCACAGAAAGGAATTCTGTGTGCAGCTAGGGATGTCTCCCGAGCTTTTGGGCGCGGATTCACGGTCTCCTGCAATTTGGAGTGATTGGGAGGAAAGGATTATTAATAACCTTGAGGTTTACGATTTAGAAGGGACTATGTTGACTTCAGTGTGGAGCTTGGGTTTAAGGTGGCAAGCATGTAAGGGTGGAGACGAGATAAAAGGACATTTCCTTTACTTCAGAGAGGAAAACCTGAATTTGGGAAGTGGTAAAAGGGCAGGGCAGGGGTCAGATCCACTTTCGTTTTCAAAACAAAATAGCGTTTCGCGATGGCTTGAGAAGGGAAGGGTACGGAGTGAGAAAGGGGAAAAATAATTCCACATTTTTAGCGTTGGTGAATTGCGTGTTTAGAGTTTAGGAAGAGCAGGCCAAGAGAAGACGAGGAGTAAAGTTGGAATGTGTTGAGTCTGAGAAGCTTGTGAGATCCCTTGAGAGAATTGGACAGAGGTTGTACATTGTGATTGGAGGAGTGGACAGTGAAGCCAGACTTGCTGGGTTAGAATTCCAGCTCATTCGTTTAATAGTTATATAATCCGAATAACAAGAAAGGGGCTTACAGCTGAGCCTAAGTGTAATAAGTAAGCTAAAAAGAAGAGTCAGTAGTACATACCTCATAGAATTGTGGAGAGGATTAAATGAGTTTACATATATACTTCTTAAGACTTATGCTAGTCTTAACAACAGTGATGGTTGTTTTTATGGTTACTAAAACCTATCAGAAATGTCTAGGCTGGAGATAGAGAGGGTTGGAAGTAGTTCTGAAATCTCTTACCAACTTTGATTTTTGTTAGCTGCAGTTTTGAGATAGCTTTTATGTTTGCTAACTAAAAATTAAAAATCTAAGGTCACTCTTTGGTAGATGTTCATGTATAGGTCAGCCCCCTTGAAAGAATGGAATGGAAGTTACTTTCCTTAGTTTCTGTGGCTCAGATGCACTAGTAGGTTAGGAAATAGATTGGTTTGTGCCCCACTTTTTCAGTATGTAGTTGGGGAAAGTGTAGCTCAGTAAAATGTGTATGAAACTTTGTGGAAAGGCTACAGGTTTTCACTAGCATCCAGTAGGTGCAAGTTTCCACACCATAAGGACTAATTTAAAACTATTAGAGGTCCTTAGCATTCAGTGATACAATTTTTATCATTTCATTCACTTATTCATCAAATACTTAAAAAATTTCTATGGCATTGTTCTTGGTGTTTACAGCTGTTTGTCCTGAAGAATTATAGGTGATTTTCTTTCTGTTGCTGTGACAAAGTATCTGAGATAAACACCTTAAAGGAAAAAATGTTTGTTTTATTTAGCCTATGGTTTCAGTCTATGGTCACTTGGTCTTGTTGCTTTGGGCCTGTGGCAGCATAGTGTATTTGTGTGTGTGTGTGTGTGTGTGATGGGGGGGCTGTGTACCTCATAGATGCTGGGAAGCAAAGAGAGAGAAAGGAAGAAGCGTGGGGTGGAGTGTCTCAATATTCTCCCCCTCCCATGACCTAACTTCCTTCTACTACTAGGCTCCATCTCCTAAAGGTTCCTCTACTTCCTAATGGCACCGCAGGCTACCAACCAAGTCTGTGGGTCTTTGAGGGACATTCAAGATACGAACCATAATATTTTGGAAATTGTTTTCTAGAACTCTTATTATCTTGTTTAGAACATGTATGCTTAGTGTTACTCTCCAGTAATGTGTTCTATGAGACCCTGATCTTGCCAGCTGGTTTGGCCAGCCATTAGAGACTTTCAGAAATTTAGCCTCTGAGTTGTTGAAAGATTATTTTATGTTTACTTATTCAGTGAATATTAAAGTCCTACTGTGCATCACACCCTGTAAACATAGTGGTTATCTATGTAGCTGATAGTGTGAAAAAATAGGCGGTTGAACCAATGATGTTTAGATGAACTGGGAGACATAAGCAGGCAATATGAAATGTAAGCAAACTATAACCACTGTAGTTCAGAAGAGAAAGAGATCATGTAGTTTTTTTTTAATCTTTAAGATTGTGCAGTATAAATCTTTGACATCTCACAAGGTTAGTCCAATGTCTTGTGTTGCAGTAGGAGCCCAATGAAGCATTACTTAGTGAAAGTATTTGGCTTGGGTCTGGAAAAATAGTTACAGTTTGGATAGGAGGAGAAAGGTTTACTGTCATACCAATGGACAAGAACCACATAAGCAAAAATGGGAATCTACAGAATAGGATACAGAGAATCCAGTTTGCTTACTCAAGTGATTATAGGCCGGCAGTGGGAAATAAGGCAGGAAGGGTAGGAAGGGTCAACTCAACACATTTTAGAGCATCAACTGTTTAACCTAGTATAAACTTTGAGTTATGAAAGGCCAATGTTGAGATTTTATTTTGAAATCTCTAATGCAACTGTCAACACTATGGATTGTAATTGTTTCTGTCTTCTGTATGATCTGCTTACAGGAATTACAATTTGCACACTTAATGCAGTATGTGCCATGGTGCAAACACTCAATATTTGCTGAGTATGGGGACTATAGCCAGCTCAGCAATTTATCTTTGTTCCCATTTCCCCACCAAATCTGATACTTTACAGCAATATAGTCAGCCTGTAGCTGCTTGCTAAATCTTAAGGTTAAGATAATGCAAAGTAGTTCCTGTCCATAAGAAGTTAGGGTACTTAGGACTGCTTTTGGTTTTTATCTGTAATATAGAATAGAGAACACAAAGTATATTAACTACTTTTGATGTTTTCTCCCTTTGTACAGGTGAGCTGAGAGAACACTTTGCTCAGTTTGGCCATATACGAAGGTGCAGTGTACCTTTTGTGAGTATTATCTTAAAAAAAAAAATACTATTGTCATCTGGGGATATAGCTCAGTGGGAGAATGCTTGCCTAGTATGTGGAAGGCCCTGGGTTTGATACCCAGCAATTCAAAAAAAAAAAAAAAACAACAACTTTGATTGTTATCCTCTGATAGAGCTTTTTTTTTTTTAAATCAAAGCATATCAAAATATGTTAATATTTAATGAAATGAAGGTGCTTTAAAGTGTTTATTGATAAAATTATGGGTAATACTGATTAAAACATAAACTTTATCATAGCTACTTGTGTTATTTTTTTTTATTGTTGCATGACAAGTTACCACAGACTTAATGGCTAAACATAACTCATATGGGGGAAGGACTGACTTCCAAGCTTCTAGAGGTTTGCAGAACTTCTTTCACCTATAGGACTGAGGTCTGTTTCTTGACTTTTAGCATTGGGCCTTCGACTGGGGCTACTGTCAGCTCGAGGGACTGCTCGCTGTTCCTTGTAATATGACTGCTCTGTATGTGTTACAGCGTGGCAGCTTTTTTTTTGAGACAGGCTTTCCCTATGTAACCTCCCAGGCTGGCCTCAAACTCACAATCCTCCACCTCTCGTCGTGGGAGGTGAGATTACAGTACGTACTTCCATGCCTGGCTCTGCAGCTTGCTGTTTTAAAGCCAGCAAGGGAGTTTCTCCAGTCTGCTAAGATAGTCTTACTTGTAATATAATCATAGCAGCAGAATCTATGCTGTACTTTTTTGGTTAGGAGTAAGTTACAGGTCTGCCTTTAATCTGAGGAAAGGGATTATAGAAGGTGTAACAAGGGGTATGCATGGAGAGCAGGGCCCATCTTAGAATTCTGCCCACTACAGTGTTAAGGATTTTGATAGCAGAGAATAATTTTATTTTAAAGGTATTTGGCAGTGAGTATCTATTTTAAGTTTATCCACATTAAATTGAGTGCAACTTAATTTTTTTTCTGTAGCACTAAAATTTGAACTCAGGGCCATATACTTGCTAGGCAGCTACTCAGCCATTTGAGTCATGCCCCCAGCTCTTTAACCTTTTTTTTTTTGCAAGCACTGGGGCTTGAACTCAGTGTCTACACCTTGAGCCACTTCACAAGCCCTTTTTTTTGTGATGGGTTTTCCGAGATAGGGTCTTGTGAACTATTTGCCCAGGCTGGTTTTGAACATCTCTGCCTTCTGAGTATCTTGGATTAAGGCATGAGCCAGAGGCACCCAGCTGTTGCATTGTTTTTCAAATAGGGCCTTGTGTTTTTGCCTGGGCTGGCCTAGGACCTCAGTCCTAGAGTCCTTTGCCTCTGGTGTAGCTGGGATGACAGGCACATGCCAGATTTTTGGTTGAGATGGGGTCTTCTGCAGTTGGCCGTAAACCACAGTGCCTTGGCCTAGATCATAGATTTAAAGAAGCCTTTGATTCTTGAGAAAACTAAATAAAATACTGAGGAAACATTTTATTTCAAGTTAAATTCATTGTACCAAGTTGGAAATCCTGGTTCCTACTTTAGGAATGTATTATCTCAGTTGTATGTTACACGCATTTTTCAATGTCTTGACTTGTGGAAATGGTCACCTGAAGGCATCAGAGGTATGAGAGGGGGTCATTGAAATAACACTGGAAAATTTTACTGCCTTCTAGGTTAGTACTTATGATGTTATTTTTGAAGTACAGGAGCAGTATCTAAGCATTTGGCTTTTTGGTAAAATACAACATAACTTTCTAATGAGACCAATGAGGGCAAAATAAACATCTCCATGGAATAGGCATCAATCTGTCCTTTATTGGAGGGCTGGAGGAGCAGGGTGCAGGGTATGATTCACAGGTTGAATGATAAGCACTGTGCCTCTTGTGCAAGTAGCAAAATTGTTAAACAGAAGGCTGGAACTAGGTAAGGGTAGTATTTATCACTTTTCATTAGGAAATGAAAATGATGAAGGTAGGACTGGATGAGGTTGATTGGTATAAGAAATGACCACATACAACTAGGTTTTGAGGCTTACTTTTTTAAGTTTCTAGTGATTAGGAAGTTAGAAAAAAGCTGAGTATTTCAGTGACCTCGATTTCCTTTGACTGATTGTTAGTGTGGTTTGTTAATCTAAAATGACACAGAAAGCTTATTATTTTATCCATTGGCATTGGAAAAGCAAACTAGCCCTAGGATTTAGCCTTGAGTGTACAGGAGGGTAAGTGTGTATTAATGTAAGGTTATTGACAATGATTATCAATAATCTGATTTTGGCAATTGAAAAAGTTGGTGGTTTGATTTGGAGCTCACGGAAACTTTGTCAAGTTCATGATTAAACTTTGTAATATTTTGAATTGCTAGGACAAAGAGACTGGCTTTCACAGAGGTCTGGGTTGGATTCAGTTTTCTTCAGAAGAAGAACTTCGAAATGCAATACAACAGGAAAATCACATCATTGATGGAGTAAAGGTAAATCTTTCCGTATCTTATCATGAGCTTTCCATTTATCAATTACATAGGTCACAAATGTGGAATGATGAGACTTTGGGAAATTTATGCCCAAATTTCATTACTGCTTGTTGAAGAGTGGTGGTAGTTCTCAAAGGCCTGGGAAATACAGCAAACCCTTTATTTTTGGTGCTGGGGATCGATTCCAGTGTGTATGCTAAGGACGCACATCCCCAGCTGAAAGACTTTTTTTTTTATTTTTTTGTGGTACTGAGGCTTGAACTCAGGGCCTTTTGCTTGCTAGGCAGGTGCTTAACCATTTGAGTCACTCTGTCAGCTCTGGTAGGTAATGGTAACCAAGATACATGTATATAATACAGAACTGTGGGAACAGCCAACTGTAACTGAAGCTTGGCTATCATACTATGTGATATTAGGCCAAACTGATGTGCAATTTTTAATTTAAGTTCAGGGAGTCTTTAAGAATGAGGGACAAATAATGCCTTGAGTCACTGCTACTGAGGTCCTAATAAAATGGCCTTCTTATAAAGTGGTAATTTCTAGTTTTACTGTTTTTACAAAGTGCCTTTCCTTACAGTGCTTATTTGATGTTTTTCAGCTCCATGTTCAAGCTCAAAGACCAAAAAAATTGCTAAGGGATCAAATATCTGATGAAGAGAAAGATTTCTGAGATGATTACTGCTTGTGAAATAAAGTAAACATAACTGAGCATTTTGTCTAAATGGTTTTATTGGAAACAAATAGTTGGACTAAGCAAGACCTTTCCCCACTCCAAAGTAAAACAGCACAATTTTTTACTGGGCAAAATTCATTTGGTAGCACAGTTTCAATATGTGAACCTCATCCTACTCATTGTGGTTGGGTAACTTTGCTGATAAACAGTAGTTCTTACACAAAATGTTATCCCCAGACTACAGTGTCACACAAAAGGAAGTAGTCTTAATTCTGTGTGTGGGGCAGTATGTTTTGTAAGTGCCAAAAGGTAGGAGAAGCACAGACACAACCCACTCCTTAAAAAAAACTAAGTAATTCAAAGTAGAATTTTTACCCTCCAACCCCCCATTTCCTGTAATAAAAAGTAGCACTGGGATCTGGCACCCAGATTGGGTTTTTATCCTGACTATTTACAAAGTTGTTCCCCCATGACTTGCATCACTAGGGTTATGAGTAACAGTTCATTCATTTTGCCAGAGTTGTATCTACTCCTTCCTCCTCTTCTTGCCTTCATGCTCATGTTCCTTGGGGCGGCTGCTATCTGAGGGTCTTTTAGACCCTCCATGCTGTTTGGCTTCTTCCAAAAACTTGTCCAAGCCAAAAGGATCTTCCTCAAACTGAACTGGTCCTTCTCGGCCCCTCTGTCTACGGTCTGAACCAGAAAACTCCTTGTCGGGTACAAACCTAGGTAAGAAAAGAGAAGGAACTATGAACGGCTTTTGTTTCACTGGTGTAAGCACTGAAACGGGATTATCTGTCTTCATACCTGTTGGTCTTTATTCTGGCTTCTAGGTCATCACCATACATGTCCTTGTCTAGATTTTTACTGGGTCTGTAGATACTCTGGGCCATATCTTTACCACCTCTCCAGGCTTGATCATAAACATTGTAAATTTCATCTTCTCCACCTGCAAATCCACTGTCCATACCCTGTGGAAAAACAGATGACATGAAATACAAACATACACATTATTTATTAAAAGCTGAGTCTGATTATTCATGAAGACTGAACACTTGCCCAAATTCCAAAAATCTGAACTGCAATTTTTAAAAAGGTCTTTATTAAAAATTCACAAGGACCATAAACTTACTTATATTGTGTATGGGTCCTTTCCTAAAGATTTAGATTAATAAGGTTCAAATTTTGACTAACAAAGTAGTCATTAAAATTGAGGGGTGCTACTATAAACAGGTACTTGAAAATTTCAGTTTATATGGATGTGATGGCAAGAAGATGAAAGAATGGTAAAACATTTCTGGTGCTTTTTAGAATACGACTATTATTCCCTTGACTGCCTGAGAACGTCACTATGAGACAACATGCTCTCAACTAAAAAAAAAGGCAGCACTGGAGATTTAGGCTCCATGCCTAGCCTTGTGCTTGCTAGGCATGTGCTCTACCACTTGACCAATAACCCCAAGCCCAATTTAAAAAAAAAATTTATTTCCTTTTTGGCAATACTGGGGTTTGAACTTAAGGTCTTCAGATTGCTAAGCAGGTGCTCTACCACTTGAGTCAGACCTCAGTCCTTCATTGAAAACGTAGACAAATAGAAATTTCATCACAATTTTTTTTCGGTACTGGGGTTTGAACTTGGGGCCTACATCTTGAGCCACTCCAACAGCCCTTTTTTGTGATGGGGTTTTTCAAGATAGGGTCTCATGAACTGTTTGCCCAGGCTGGCTTCAAGTTGTGATTCTTGTGATCTGCCTCTTGAGTAGCTAGGATTACAGGTGTGAGCCACCAGCGCCCAGCTTCATTACAACTTTTAAATACTTTATGCTTAAGATTATAATGGGTATCAATCTTGAAAACGGAAATTTCCATTCCTAACTCCCTTTGCTCAGGCTCTTTTAAGTTGCTGTTGCATAGTGGTTAAGAAAAAAGTTTTGGAACCAATCATAAATTATTAGCTAAACTTCTGTGTCTCATCTGTGTTTCAATTTCTTTATCTAGAAAATAGAAATAATAGTATGGCTTCATAGGTTGTTTTTTTTTTTTTTTGAAGGACTGAAATAGGTTAAGTAAAAGACTTAAGAACAATGCCAGGAACAGAAAGCATCCAGCAAATAATTACTTAGAAGAGCTTACTCAAATGCTACTTTCTAGTAGATGAATTAAAACAAGGTGTCCTATCTGGTTAAAGACAACCAGTACTAGAAATCAGATTTCATAACAACTAGTCTGGTATTTTAATTCAGTTTTAAAGCTTCATTTTTATCTCAAATTGACATGTTTCTGTAGCATTAAAAACAAAAATCCTAAGATCAACAATAACAAAAAATAAAGAGGTACTGTTGTAGGGCACTGGCTCTAAGCAAAAGACAGACATTGCTAAACTAAGTTTTATCACCTAATTTCATCTACTAGTGCATCAAATAGTAGCCAGCTGTAAGAGGTCACAATCAGAAGTGTACCATCTTATCTTTTAAGTAACAACATACTTTTTTCTGTCATCATACTGGCATGTCTTTGACTAAGACAAATCCCTGAGGATGGTTATTCATAATACAGTGCATACTCATATCCACACAACATACGCTGTTTCTAAACTTGTACCTTGGATTGATTGAAAAGTCTCTGGTCATACTGAACTTCATTGGAAGTTCGAGGATTGGGCACACCAAGAGCAATAACTTCACTGATATCTCGATTTTCATTTCTCTGCAGTTTTGACCTATTTGAAACACAGTATCATTAGCTGAACATTCTTTATGGACACTCTGTATATAAATACAACCAATCTCAGAAGCAAAGGAAAGGAGTATGTCATGTTTGCGTCTTGTGAACATATATTCCCTGATAATGTGCAACCTGGTTGGAAGCTCTACAGCATTTCAGATGCATGATTAGAGAAGGTAGAGTTCTACAGTTAGGATTTCCTAGTAGCTCAAAAAAATATACAAGAGATGGATTATTGACATGGAATTCTTTAATACCTTACAACCATGCTAAGTAAGGTATGAAATTGCTATGGTCTGTTTGCTATTATCCTCATAAGGGTTCTGAGGGCTTGGCAAGTAGATGCAAATCTGCGTCGATGAAACATTTTCTATAAATCAGAATCAGCTTTTACTTAACCACATTTAGAACAGAATTTCAAGGAAAGCATGTTAATACCTGTATTACCTGAATGGCCTTTGACTGTTTTAGTATAAATGCAACTTACATCCCAATGAAATCTGATAACTGCCACCACTTATTTTACTGGCAGTGTCTTTTTTATTTTTATTTTTTTATTTTATTATTCATATGTGCATACAAGGCTTGGTTCATTTCTCCCCCCTGCCCCCACCCCCTCCCTACCACCCACTCCGCCCCCTCCCTCTCTTCCCCACCCCCTCAATACCCAGCAGAAACTATTTTGCCCTTATTTCTAATTTTGTTGTAGAGAGAGTATAAGCAATAATAGGAAGGAACAAGGGTTTTTGCTGGTTGAGATAAGGATAGCTATACAGGGCATTGACTCACATTGATTTCCTGTGCGTGTGTGTTACCTTCTAGGTTAATTCTTTTTGATCTAACCTTTTCTCTAGTTCCTGGTCCCCTTTTCCTATTGGCCTCAGTTGCTTTAAGGTACCTGCTTTAGTTTCTCTGCGTTAAGGGCAACAAATGCTAGCTAATTTTTTAGGTGTCTTACCTATCCTCACCCCTCCCTTGTGTGCTCTCGCTTTTTTCATGTGCTCAAAGTCTTATCCCATTGTTGTGTTTGCCCTTGATCTAATGTCCACATATGAGGGAGAACATACGATTTTTGGTCTTTTGGGCCAGGCTAACCTCACTCAGAATGATGTTCTCCAATTCCATCCATTTACCAGCGAATGATAACATTTCGTTCTTCTTCATGGCTGCATAAAATTCCATTGTGTATAGATACCACATTTTCTTAATCCATTCGTCAGTGGTGGGGCATCTTGGCTGTTTCCATAACTTGGCTATTGTGAATAGTCTGGTAGTGTCTTAAAACGATTTCTGTAGATTCTGATATTCACCTAATCACAAGTTCACAGCTTTTTTATGTCATCAGTCCTCACAGCTCCCTTGTTTTTGTTGTTTGCTTTGTTTTTGAGATAGGTTTCACTGTGCAGCCCAGGTTAGCCTTAAACTTCTGCCTTAGCTTCCAGAGTGCTGGAATTACAGGAATGCACTGCCATGCCCACCTCACTTTACTGCTTTTAAGGGTCCGATTTATCTACAGAGTCATTTTAATTTACAATTTAGGAAGTTTCAATAAAGAGTATCATTATTTGAATACTTTCACACCTCATTCCTCTGCTACAATGTAGATTTACTCACAACTCTGAATTCAGGTTCTCTGCTTCTCCTGACTATGTATTTTTCCAGGGAGATGAAATATGATAAACAATAAAGCATCACACCAGCAGGTATGATTTAAGGTATATTTTGAAAAATTGGGTTGTAAATCGCTCTTAGGATGATCAGAGCATGGAGAATTATTCATTTGGGAAAGTAAATGTTTCATATTTGCATTTAATCCTCACTCAGAATTCTGTCTTTGTATTACAGCATTTCCTGAACTTCTGAGCAACTTCGTTCCTCAGCCTTTTAGTGAATCAGAAACTTCTCCAATTCCTACTTTATGTCCACATAACATGGATTAGGTTTGTTTTATACCATTTTGTACTATTAAGAATTTTTGTAAATTTTCACCAACTATTTTATATCACAGTTCTGTCCTGAATTTTTTTTTTTTTTTGCACTGGGGTTTGACCATCAGGCCTTTTTGCTTTACTTTGCCAGGATCACAGGTGTGAGCCATGTTGCCAGCCGTCCTTCTGAATGTAAGTTAAACTGCTCAAAGGAAGAAGCTAATTTTCACTTTTTCAAAACTTGCTGTTCTTCCCCACTGTACTGGGCACAGTGCTCTATGTGTAAAAGGATGTCAATAAAGGTCTGGCAGCTTATTTCCTGTTTGGAGGCATAGGTACACAGTCAATTTCTTACCATCTGAGGTATGAAAGGAACACATCAGAACAGCCTCGTTTACTACTTCTTTTTCATAATCACACTCTTAGTTCTTATCCCCATGATTATCAATTCTAATTGACGCTACAAGGTGACAGAATGAAAAGATTACTTCCTGGGATAATCAATTCTGCTAAGAAAAAGTGGTTTTAAATGCAGCAAAACTAATAGCTAATTATTAAGTTATTAACCTTAAAAAGGGAGAAAAAGCAAAACTGATCTTAATGTACTAAAACTATAAAAGGTACAAAAAGGCCACGCTTCATAATTTGTATTTAGAGCAAGTAGCACCTACCTCTTATCAGGTGCTGCCCTGGAAAGATTCCGGTCATGCTGTCTCTCTTTTCGCCTATCGTGCCGGATTTCATCCCTCTCACGTGCTTCTCCATCCTCTGTGTGGACACAGTTGAAGATTACTTTGTATTATCCATTAACATTTTAAATAGTGAGTGCAGACAGAAAAATGTTAATTTGTGGATGTAATGGCTTAAATTTATCTGTAGTCCCAGCACTCATGAGGCTGAGACAGAAGGATTCCAAGTTCAAGGATAGCAATATGACTTTGTGCAGGTTACTTTGCCACTTGGACCCTTAGTGAAATCCTTGGCAAAACAGTGACAATAATAATGTCACTGAACAGGATAGATATGGACTATATGAGGTAATACATGTAAAATGCTCAGAGTGGTGCCTGTCATGTTAAATATTCAATAATTACTAGTTTTTACTAATATCTGGCAAGAGATTTTTCAAATTTTTAATTCATTTCTCAAGAACCATTTTGTTCTTTTTAATTCAAAGAATTTACAGCAAATGTTTTCTTTTCTTGCAGTGCTAAGGATTGAACCCAGGGCATTGTGTATGCTAGGAAGAATTCAGGGAAGTGGATCACTACTTATGACCTTGGTTACTTCCCTATGGCCTACTATACCAACTGCCTGTTTAACATCTTATCTTAAACCTAACATGTCCTCAACTAAAGTCCTAATTTGCCCTTCCCAAACCTGTTCCTCCTGCAGCATTCTCAATTTTAATAAATGGCCAGTTAATTCTTCTCCACTGCTCAGGTCAAAAGTTCTGGAGTCAATCCTTGACTCTTAATTTTCTCCCATACTTCTACTTCTTAAGCAAATTTTGTTAACTGTATCTCCAAAATATATCCAACATCTGACTATTCTTTCATATGTTATCTTTTTCATCTAGTTTACTATAATAGCCTTCCAAATAACATCTCTGCTTCTGCCCACATCCATTCTACAGTCTTTTAATTTTAACACAGCAGTTAGAGTAACAACCTTTTAAAAATACGTGTTAGGGGAAAGGTCAAAGAGTGCAAAGTTTCACTAATAGGGATAAGTTCTGGAGATCTAATATACTGCAGGGTGACTGCGTCAACAATGGTATATCATACAAATAAAATGTGTAGAGAAGTCTTAATTCTTGTCACTAAAACTTTAAAAATAGACTATGTGAGTTGACTGAATGCTATAGTGGTAAACATTTTACGATGTGTATTTCACAATGGGTTGGGGATGTAGTTCAGTGATAAAGTATGTGCTTAAGCATGCTATAGGCCCTGGATTCAATCCTTAGCACAACAAACAAAACAAAACAAAAATACCTACAAAATTTAGTCCAGGCATACCACTAGGCTCACCCATAGTCCTAGCTAATTGGAAGGCTAAGGCAGAAGAATCACTTGAGCCCAGTGGTTTGAGGTCAGCCTGGGAAACACAGCAAGATGCCAGTTCCAAAACAAAACAAACTACCACAATGCACAATATTAAATATATACAATTTTATATATACATTGTACACTTAAATATATTCAATTTTTATTTGTTAATTATACCCTAGAAAAACTGGAAATGTTACTCTATCTGAAGCACTTCAACTGTTTCCCTTGTCACTTGAAGCACATGCTATGTCCTTATGAAGGATAAAAAAAATCATACCAATGTGGCTGGTCACTACCTTTCCCATTTGACCTAACTACTCTATCGCATTTCCCATTTCTCTGCTGCTCTGATCCCCACTGTGATCTAGTCATACTGGTCTCCCTGCATTTCCTTGAGCACACCAGGCATACTCCCAACTTGGGGCCTTTGTTTCTGCCCATTCTTCTGTCTAGAATGCTCTTCATCCACATGGCTTACTTCTAAGTTTTTATACTAATGTTAGCATCTCAGAAGTGAGGCCTATTCTGACTACCCTCTCCTTCTAGTACTTTTCTGTCTCCCCCTTCTTGCATTATTTCTTTCCATACCAACTGTTACCTTCTGTTATACTGTATGATTAACTTCTTTTGTTGTTGTTTTTCTAAGACATAGTCCAGGCTATCCTTGAACTTGGAATCTTTTTGTCTCAGCCTCATGAGTGCTGGGACTACAGATAAACTTAAGCCACTACATCCACAGATTAACATTTTTCTGTCTGCACTCACTAGAAGTTGACTGCTGTATCCCACCCCACTTCCCAATGTCTGGCAGAAAATTTGTGTCTAGATAACACCCTTGCACATAGTATGTACTCAATATGAACTGAACAAGAGTGATTAATTTTACTTACCTAACATTTAATAATAATTAAAAAAAAAAAAAGCTGGCCGGTTACCTCAGCTGGTTATAACATGGTGCCAATAACAGTAAGGTTGTGCATTTGATCCCTATATGGTTCAATAATCTGAGTGACTTTGAGCTGGAGGCATGACTTGTGGTAGAGGGCTTGCCTAGCAGGCACAAGGCTCTGGCATCAAACTCTAGTACTGCCTCCTACTTAAAAAAAAGCCCCTCACTAATTTTCTTAAATTAGAATTAGGTTCATCTTTCCACTCTAATTCAATTAATACACAATATAGACCACTAAATAAAGACAGAAAACACTAGCAGTTGTTATGATTAGAAAATACATTAGCCTATAAGACAGAAAAGCTCTAGGTTATTTTAACCATATGAGGAAAATGACATAGTTATTTGAAAATCTAATTTCTCTTTCTCAACTTAAGAAAACTAAAATGGAAAGAAAATTCAAACTTATCATTTGAGTAATAATTAATGTGACTTTAAAATCATAGCTTTAAAAATATATTTGAAAATATCCAGTAGGGACTGGTTCTGGGATCATACCACTGAACCTAGGATACCTGAATCCATGGATGCTCCAGTCCCTCATATAAATGGAATAGTATCTGCATATAACTTACATACATCCTCCCATATACTTTCAATCATCTCTAGCTTACTTATGAGACCCAATACAATGTAAAAGCTATGTAAAGAACAGATGTACCATATTGTTCAGAGAACAATGACAGGGAAGAAGTCTGTATAATTTTGGTGTAAATGCAACTTCCCCCCCCCCCCAAATATTCTGATCCATAGTTGATTCAATCTGCAGATATGGATCCTAGGGATCAGAAGACCAACTCTTTAGTTCAAAACTTTTAAGAATTTATAGCATAGCCCCATATTAAAGATCCACTTTTAGGGATGGTGGAGTGGTTCAAGTGGTAGGGTGCCTGTTTAGCAAGTATGAGGCTGGGTTTAACCCCCAGTAGCATGAAAAATCAAACCAAACAACAACAACAAAAAAGCCCCAATCCACCTTTAAATATAGACTTGTTTATTTTCTGAATCTTCAGCTTAGTAAGAAAGAGGTTATACTCCGTTCCTACACTATTTCTGAAATACTTGTTTTCTTTATATGTACTTACTTTTATATGAAGTTTAAAAAAAGGCAATCTTCTAAAATGACATATGTATTGTTCACAGAGTAAGTTCCACAATGAAAATGTCATACCTTTTTCCACATGGGTTTTGATCCCAGCTCTCCTCTCTCTGGCTTTTTGGCCATTTCTCTAAGTTTCTCTTCATGTTTCTCCTTTTCTTTTTGAGCCATCTTTCTTTCTACTTGGGCACGCATTTCCACAGCTTCACGAGCCTGTTTATTAAAAGTGAGATGTTAAGCAGCACACTATCATGGGATAAATATTTACAGCTGTCATCTAGCTACCTAATTAAAGTCTAGCTTGTAAGAACAATTGAACAGAATTGATACTTATTATTGCTGATTAAGATAGTAAGTTACTGTCTCTAGAAGACTATTGAAGAGGTTAGTTTTTCCACTCTGGGGAATGTTTTAATGGTTGAAGCTACAGTGATATCAATCTTTGACATCGTTTTTCTAAAGCTTTCTTGGAAACAATCTAAAAATTTAAAATTAGCTGGGTCCAGTGGTTCAAGCCTGTAGTCCCAGCACAAAGGAGGCTGACACTGGAGTATCGCTTGAGCCCAACAGTTCAAAACTAGCCTGAACTAAATAGCAAGACCTGTCTCAAAAAATAAAATTAAAACAAATAAATAAAATAAATTTAAAATAAAACAACCTCAATACTCAAGAGGGTGAGGCAAGGGGATCAAGAGTTCAAGGCTAACTGAGGCTACAAAGTGAGACCCTGTCTTAAATTGATTAATTAAGATTCGAGACTCCAGCGTAAGATAAAACTTAGCCTACATCTGAAAGAGATAATTTTTATAAGGGCATTGTGACAAAGGACACATCCTTTTCTAACACATGCTATGACATGTGAACCTGACAGTTATATATTAATATCATAGTATGTAGATATATATTTTATATAGATAATATATGTATACCACTAATGCCATCTCATGAAGCATTCAATTAATCAGAAAGATTACCTACCCTTTCTTTCAACTGCCCTTTTAGGGGACATTTACATCGAAAATAGAGGAAAATTATGCAATGAACACCACCTAGCAATCTTCACAAATCAGATCAGCCTAGGGAACCATTATTCCGGCATGCTGTGAGAGAGTTGGATCACTGCAGGTGGGGACACGTATGTACAAGTATACAAAAGGTGGAACCACGTACAGATTTGCAACTAGCACCTGCCATCTTTAGCACATATACCAAAAATTAAGTTTCTAGAAACCCAGTATTATAGTTAAATTGACAGTATCTTAGGTAAACAAGAATGAGCTTACAGGGCTAAAGTGGTAGAGTGCCCACTTTGCAAGCATGAAGCTGTAAGTTCAAACTCCAGTCCCACCAAAAGAGAAAAATAATCAGCTTACAAATTATCAACAACACTGAACAATTAAATTATAATAGACCAACCTTCCGATCAGCAATATACAGAGCTTCAGCCAGTTTTGCAAAATTTTCATTTATGTGTACTGTCTGAAGTCCTCTTCCATCAGCAGCTAGACGTTTGTCTAATGGAATTGTATAACCCTAGGGTGAAAGCAGAGAGAAAATATCAGCATAGAACACAGCAGAACTGTCATAATTATTTAAAATTAAGTTAAAATACGCCAATTTTGAGGCATGAGATTATTTTTCTTATATCTTTTATCAGAATTATTCAAAACAGCAGCAACTAACAAGTGCTTTGTATGGAGGATTAAGTACTTTACATCTATAATCTTACTTAACTATAACAACTCTATAAAACTGGAAATATCATTAATAGTTTCCATTTCAAAGATGAAAATAGTAAGGTTGAAAGCGTAGGAAATGTCCCTACATATAGTTAATAAGTAGATGAATTAGGATTTAAACTACAACAGTAGGACTTCAGAGTCCCAGTTTTGGAAAAATAGATTCTCATGCTAATAATTGTGTATTATAATGAAAGGAAATCACTGCCAAATAGCCAAATAGTTGCTTTTCAAGTAAGAGTAACAGTCATACAAAGATGGCACAAAAAACTAGTATCTGTAAGTTAGTTTTAATCTAGTATATTGTCTTAATGACTTACTAGATTCTTGGAAATTTTGTAAGTGGCAAAAAAAAAATAATTTGCCAGATAATTAAGATCCTACAGTCTTTAAGGTGTGCATCCCATTTCAACAACACAAGGAATATGCTTGAACATCCATTTAAAAACTTTCAGGTGTAGCTTTATTTTCACTGTATCTGATTAATATCCAAAAGTTGATCTCTAGTCTATGGTCACCTAATTAAAAAAAAGTTTTAGCATCAGGCATGGTGTTGACTGCCTGTTAACAAAACAAAACAAAACAAAAAAACAAAACAAAACAAGACCCCCAAACAAAAAAACAATGAAGTGTTACAAAATCACCTCAAGATATTGCATGGGAACCAGGTGCTGGTGGCATGAGCCACCTAGTAGTGCTAGCTACTCGGGAGACTGAGATCAGGAGGACTGCAGTTCAAGGGCAGCCCAAGTTAGTTACCAAGTTAGTGAGACCCCATCTCAACCATATCTGGGTGTAGTAGTGCACACCTGTCATCCCAAGCTATGTGGGTGGCTGAGATCAGGAGGAAGATGGTGGTTCCAGGCCAGCTAGGTAAGACCCCATCTCAAGAGAAAACAGCTGGGTGTGGTGATGCTTGTCTGTCATCCTGGCAACAGTGGGACACTTAAAATAGGATTGAGCTCCAGGCTGGCTTGGGAAAAAGCAAGACCTCATCTCCAAAATAACCAAAGCAAAAATGACTAGAGGCTTGGCTCAAGTGGTAGAGAACCTATCTCACAAGCATAAAGCCCTAAGTTCAAAACCTTAGTACCTCAGGGAAAGAAAAAAAAAAAAAAAAAAAGATACCTCATAGTTATATATAGTTAAAAATATTTATCAAAACAAATCAGACCAAACCAGCAAACCAGCCAACAGCCTTTTTTGGTAGGATGAGTACAAACTGCAAGGAGCAATTTAAAACAGGCCTCTTCGCCCATCAAAACAATCATGAAATAAATATGCTTTGGGGAATACAGGACATAGTGATTAGGAAATTTATTCAAAGTTTGACAGATTCTTAATGATTCCTAGGAGCTCTGGTAATTAACAGAGATATGCAGGATTTATTTTTTCTATTTTTAGGGTTTTTTTGAGACATGGTCTTGCATAGCCCAGGCTAGGCCTAGAATGTGTAATCGTCCCACCTTGGTCTCCCAAGTGCTGAGAATACAGGCATGCATAACTATGCCGGGTGACGTAGTGTTTCAATAGCTTAAATCTGCTACGTGCTGGTGGAGGAGTGGCTCAAATGGTAGAGCATCTGCCTAGCAAGTGTCAGGCCCTGAGTTCAAACCTCAGTATCACCAAAAAAAAAAAAGAAAATTAAGCACTAAAAAATCTAAACATTTACTGTTGTATTCTCATGATCATTTAGACTGGCTTAATTTCTTGCAGAAATAATTTTTAAATATAAATTTGAGTTCTGTAGAGAATACCATCTTGAATTAATATGGTTCTTTGTTCTATTTATTTTTTTCTTTGTGCTTCTGATAGGTACAATACACTAAAGGAATTTACACAGTATACATATACCTGACATACTAATATTTCTATTAATAACAACAACAAAAAGGCACATAAATTTTTTTTTGGTAGTGCCAGAGGTTAAAACCCAAGGTCTCACACATGGTAAACATGTACTCTACCACTGAGCTGTACTCTCAGCTCCTGGCATTTCTTCTTGAAAACACTAAGCTAAGTGAGAGCTAAGGTTTCAACAAAGCTTCCCAGGTTTTAGATCTTTACAGAATGTTTTCCAATAGTTTACAACACCAATTGACTAATTTTATGACAACTTAATTACCTTTGCATTTTTCCAATTAGAAATGCAAGGAGGAATCTTCCATTCCTGTTGTTCCTTTACAGTCATCTGAGTTGAGAAAAGAATGAAAGAAGAGACATTTTTAGATTTATATTCTAGCTAAACACCCAAGTATAATCCTTTTTTCATTAAAGACCTCTCCATATACACTGACAGGCTTTGTCAAATTCTAAAATTCCATTTGTTTTGGAAGCACTATATATATATCACAGACTATATTACTGGGAAAGAGTCCAGAAATTATTTTTGACACAAATACTGGCTAATATTTTTCCAGATTTAAAGTGATGTGACTTCTTTCAGATGAAAACTTTCTTTTTGGTAACAAAAAATACTTTAAAAAGTCACCCAGAGCATCAGAGATACAATAAATCAAAGTACTCATTACCTATAGTTATGATATCCCTCATCTGAAACAGATCTTTTTCATTTTATTAAAAGCAGAGTTTGAGTTACCAGTGATAAAACAACTAACATTTAACATATAATCTCATAAGCACTCTAGAAACTATACTTTGTAGTCTTGACTGGGTTCCCATTTTGCTTAAAAAAATAAATTTAAAGAGAACTGTAATCAGTGTAACATGTACCTATAGGCACAGAAAGTTATTTATAAAATTAATAATCATAAATTAAAAAAAAAGATTTTGGACTATATAATTATAGCAAAGAATACCTTTCGACTTGGAGAGTGCATGACAGGTGCAGGAGGTGAAGGTGGTCCCCGGGGAATTTTCTTATTAATCCTGAGGATAAATCAAAATACATTTAGAGAGTGATAAGCATTTTTACCTTTTAGTTATTATATCTCGATCTCTCCTCATTTTTTGCTGTGTAAAGTTTCAAACACAGACAGAAACAGACTGTGTAATGAACATACCATCACGTTTTCAACAACTAATAAAATGTGGCTAACCCTGTCCATCATGACTCACCCCACCTCACTACCACCACTACACAGAGTAACACTCTTGCAACTTAATGATATAACTGACATTAGATACAATTAGCTATACATAAAATGTACAATTTAAATTTGTACACAAATATACACCTATGAAAGTGAACATAGCCATCACTCCTATCCTTATCCCTTCCTTCTCCTCACTGTCTCCACCTCCTTCCCCAAAGGCAACCACTGACCCACCTTCTATTACTATAGATTAGTTCACATTTTCTAGAGCTTTACATAAATGGACTCATACTTTATTTTACTTACTTTTGCCTATGTTTCATTAGGCATAATTACTTTGAGATTCATCTTTGGTACTGTGCTAACAGTTTATTGCTTTTTATTGATCATATATTCCATGTACTGAGATGTGCATAAGCTTGTTTATCTAGTCAACTGTTGATGGACATGTAGGGTACTTTTCTTCTTTAATATCTTGTTTAAGAACAGCAGTTCATTCTCATGAAGCTATCTACTTACTTGAACCTTGGAGGCTCCATTGGATCTTTCTGCATTTCTACCATCCGAATAACTCTCTGCTTAGCTCCAGAGTTGAAGGCCACTCCTTGCTGAGATGGTGTGTATCTGAAGAAAGGAGATGATAAATGTGTAACTAGTTAAAGTGTTCAGTGGGTATTTTTCTTCTGTTACAATTCTAGGAGACTATATTCTCAATTCCTTTCACAAAGTATTAATAGAAAGTTACAAATATTTAGGCAGGTCAGAGAAAAGAGAATAGAAATTATGAGTTACAAGCAAAATGTAAATTAGAGTAGGCAGTCTGCAAATAATCCACCCTCATCCATTTTCCAACCTGGAAGGTGCAACTGTCCAGTTTTCGAGAGGTCTAGAATATAGTTTTTACTTTGTTAGTTTTTCCTGTGGTTAAGGAAAAAACATCTAAAATAATCCTAGCAGGCCATTCATAGTTAACAGTTTTGATTAATCACAGATTGTAAAACAGAGAAAGAATAATGGCAGGACCCCTATCAGTTATGAGTTTTCCCTTAATATCTATGTGTAAAACACCCCCACAGGAAGATTTAGTAGAATGAAGCCCCTCAAAATTTATAAATATTATAAGAATGCCTAATATATATAATTGGAAAATTATAAATTATGGTTTGGATCATATACCACAGGTGACCATTAATTTCTAAAACCAAAAAATATGTTGAAAATAGCACAATAGGTAACATCTTAAAGATAGCTATCTTAATTTTGCTTTCAATTGTCTACAAAGACAGTCAACAGGCATTAAAAGTCATTATTCAAGACAATGCATTTACAATTGTGACTACAAAGGATGGTGAAAGAATACCAGAGATCCCTGAACTCAAATCAAATGTGAAATGAATCTTTCAGTTCCAGGTATGGCTCATACCGGATATATTGAGCAGGAGCCAGTTTATCAGCTGCTCGAACTGGCATGGCTGCAGCAACCTTCTGTGAAACAGACTTCTCTAAGGCTACCCTTGTCTTTTCTGTTATCTGAAATAAGAAACATCACACTGAGTGGTTTGGAAGTTAATAAGGATGCAAAAAGTCATCTAAAATAATTATATGTCAATTCCCAGTTACCTCTTTAATAGCTTCTTCGTCGGGTCTTTGCAGGTCTGGATCATCTGCATTCATAACCTCCTTTGGAACCAGGTCAGTGTATTTGCTATAAATGACCTAAAATGTTCAAACACAAGTAGGCTTAAACAGAGAATGGAAAGAAGCAACCTCATTAAGTCATTTTAGATGTCAACATGTTCTCTCAGCACTCATAAACTTAGGACACTCAGTTTTGTCTTTTAGATTTTAAAACAAAGGAAACTTAAAATATATACACAAATTGCTGCCCTGGCTATAGGTTAGTAATTTTCTCTTGCTCCCATGCATTTAAGTTATTTGAGATATTCTAATCAAGTCAGTATCCCAAAAAAATTGTGCCAACAAAATATTATGCATCAGTAATCTCTATTTTTGAGGCTCACTAGGACTTGAAATTGATGATGATATAAATTGTCTATAGCACCATTATCTTGGATTAAAAACTCATCAAAATTTAAGTCAGGTTACCAAATAATTTCCAAATTCATTGGGCCTAGAAAATTTCATTGACCTCATCCCATTTATGTTTTTTTTTTTTTTTCTGGAATCAATTCTATTCACAGGCTAAGAAAATGAACATGTGCCAAAGTGAAAAAAACCTGGAACATTTTTTTCCATGAGAAGACAAAAATGAAAGAGAAAAAAAAAAACAAAATACACCCTATATACATAACTTAACTCTATATCCAAATTTAGGACTGCTATGAGTTCTAGTAGGCCCAAAATAGTTTCTTGTAGGCTGACACTTATGTGATAGACTCCTGAAAAATAGAATATTGCTTACTTTCATGTCCATCTATACTTAAAACTTAGGCAGATTTCAAACAAAAAAAGAAACACTAGAAATTTAAAAATAGTAAGCATTCTAGACTTTAATGCTTTAGTTAGAAACTTTTTGGCACACATACAAAGAAAGGACAATTTACAAATATGAAAGAAAAACTTCCTGGCACTTGTGATCTTCAAAATTTTCTAAAGATAACTGTTAACTGCTACAAGCTGAAGTCTTCTATCCATGACTGCATTCCACCACATGACATTCCTTGAAACAATTTAAAGGAAATGCATGTTATTCCCAATTTCCTGCTCCAAACAAGGGAGCAAAAGACACTTTTTAGCTTACCTCAAGTGACCTGGCTTTGCCTACATCTGCACTCTCCCCTTCTTACTCACTCCCTCATTCTTGCTTCAGTCACATAAGATTTTCTGCTCCTTGAACATAATGTGCTTCTGATTCTGAGCCTTTCTTTATAGAGTGCTTTTCCCAGTTCTTCAAGAAAGTTCTGAATCTATGCCTCAGATCAAAGGACCTGGCTACCTCCCTAAAAGAGCAGCTTCTCCTTACCCAAATCATTCTGTATCACAGCACTGTTTACTGTCTTCAAAGTACTATCCACAATATGAAATTATCTATTTTACTTGGTTTGGATTTTTGGTGGGATAGGGTTTGAAACTTAGGGCTTTTCATTTACAAAGCAGGCACTTGCAAAGAAGGTGCTCTATTGTTTGAGCTACACCTCTAGTCCATTTTGCTCTGGTTATTTTGAGATGGAGTCTTGCAAATGATCCTCCTGATCTGAGCCTCCCAAATAGCTAGGATTACAGGCATGAGCCACTGGCACCTAGCTATTTTACTTGTTTACTATATATCCCTATGTATGTATAAACTAACTTAACCATTAAATCGACCTTATGAGGTATGCACAACGATTATACCCATACTACTGATGAGAATATTCATTAAAGTATTTCCAGTGCCTATGACGCAGGACGTATTCAGTCAGTATTTTTTGTATAAATGAGTACATGAATTTTAGAGATGTTCTATTATGTGCTAAAGGTATTTGCATTTTAGGTTCCACAGAACTTTCTTTAAAAACAAAAAAAGGTCTTGTTATGATGTCCAGGCTGGCTCTGAACTCTTAGTCACATGGGTGTCTCCTTCGGCCTCTGAGGAGCTAGGACTACAGGTGTATGCCTCTAGGCCTGGATAATAACTTTCTATAAAAGCTACTGGTTTCCCAGAAACAAACAAACAAACAAACAAAACCCTGCCTCGTAGTGACAAACTGAAATCTAAAGCTTGTTGTTCTTAGGAATGACAAGAGGGACTAGGTAAGGAAGTATAGACTTAGTAAAAGTTATTCTACTGAAATGTGAGCTATTAGTGTTATCATTCTTTGAGTGTTCATTTGGAAGGAACCCTAAAGCTTACTCTAAGAAAAGAGTAAGACTCAGCACATTAAGATCACATAGTTCGTTAGTAACTAACTGACCTCAAGTCTTATTTCTTTTCAGGATGGAAAACCAAACCAAAAATGATATAACACTATAGAAGATAATACTGAAATTATGAGGAGTTAATCACTTTTATACAGCAGTCATTATAGGAAGAGATTCTAAGTAAATAGCTCCCTGGTAGTCATATATGTTCAACATAAAATCTCAATACTAATTTAGCATACAAGAGCCATTTGCTGTTTCTTATTTGGATATTCCAAAGTTAATAACCCTTTAAATGAGCACTGATAAGAGTCTAGCTTTTTACAAGGCAGATGAAGGACATTTGAAGAACATGATTCCTCTGTGGTAATTAACTATAAAACCCAAAATTTTTATAGCCTGAGAACAACATGTGCTGAAGAAACTCAGCATATCCCAGGAGGTAATGGGGCTGGGGAGAGTTATCTGAAAACTATAATATATTCTTAAAGGTAGAAGAATAAATAAGTACTGTTATTGAGATAAAGCAGTAACTTATCTGCAAAAAAGATGATTTCTTATTACGAAAACTGGCAAAGAACTGGACTGACTGAAAGGATAAGCCTGTCAACATACTCGCCAACAGATAAAGAGAAAACACTGCCTTTATAAATGTACCGGGTGTTTGTGGTTAAGAACATGGAAGTAGAGTGGGACACTACTAGCATTTAATAGGTTGTGTCAGTTATGTTAATCATGTATAATGAACAGTCAAGAAGTGTGACCCTCAAAATGTCAACAGTACACAATTCTAGGTGAATTATTAAATCCATTCTAAAACTTCATGCATTAATCCATTCACTTTTAGTAAAAGTTGTGAGGAACCTGAGAACAAAACTTCTCAAAACTACCAGTTTTGGGTTCAGTACTAGTGGCTGCATTATAGACAAAGATGTAGGCTTTTACTGTATAAAGGAACAATGCTTTAAAGAACTTATATCAATTACTGAAATCCAAAAATAAAGGTTCAGTTTTAATAGTCTACTCTCTCTCTGCTTGTTTTTTGGCAGTACTGGGGCTTAAACTGAAGGCCTTTCACTTGCTAGGCAGGCACTCTACCACTTGAGCCATGCTCTCAGCCCTTTTGGCTTTCATTATTATTCTAACAGGGTGTCATGTTTATGCCCCACCAGCCTGGATAGATCTTCCTATTTATGCTTCTTGCCTTGTCATGGTGCCCAGCTTTTTATTGGTTAAGATGAAGTCTCTTGAACTTTTTGCTTGGGCTGGCCTCCCTCCAATCTCCACCTTCCAAGTAGCTAGGGTTACAGGCCACCACCATGCCCAACTTAACCTACTCTATCTTTAATATAAAGTAATTATCAATATTGATGGTTGCTAGATAAAAGAAAACAGAACAACAAAAAACCTTTCAGACATTACCCACAAATCAAACAAATTCTTGGTTTCCAGACTTTAAATGTAATACAAATAACTAAAGCTCTATTTCATTCAAAATACACAATCTGACAATGCCAAATTACTGCCTTAAAATGATGCTTTTATTCTTAACCAATAGGAACAGAAAGCTAGCACATAACAGTAAAAAGGAATGATTATTTCCAAAGGAGAGATGCACCAAACAAAGGCAGCTGGAGTCAAGTAAAAGCTTCAGTGACACAAAGTAAATTTCCAGTATTATGACCTGCATCTACAGGGACTGTATTTTTCTTTCGCAGGAGTAGATTATACTTCCTCTCTGGCTTCAGAGAAGTTTTTTTTGTTGTTTTCTTTCTCTCTCTCTCTTTTTTGGCAGTACTAGAGTTTAAACTCGGGGCTTTGTGCTTGCTTGGCAGGCATTCTACTGGCTTGAGCCACACCTGAGCCCTTGTTGCTGTTTTCTTTTTGGTCCTGCAGATTGAACCCAGTCTTACACATGCTGGGTAAGTGCTCTACCACCGAGCCTCAACCCCAGCCTCACTGACTTCAGAAGAAATGTTTTTTGGTTAAACAATGAAAACTGCTATCATTTGCCCAATAAACATTGGTAAATTGAGTTCAAACCCCATTACCACCAAAGAGGAATATAAAAAGATATACTTCCTGCCATCAAAGAGCTTATATCAAATGATAAGACCACTGCTGTGATAAATACCGGGATTACCCAATCTAGCTAGGTTTCTAAATAGATGGAAAGTCTGAGGGAAACAAAATTAGTGACCACTCAGCAAAAGGGAGAACATACTGGTGGAATGTGTCACATTTGGAATTTCAATATCCTTTGACTTAGTAAACCCACATCTAAGAATTTATTTTACATAATTAATGTTTGTATATGGATGCAAAAAAGATGTCTGCATGTGAATATTGAATAAAGTACTGTTTGAAAATATTAAAAAAACTGAAAATTACCAATATTCAAAAAAATTACCAAAGAATTCTACATAGATTTTTTTCAAAACATAAGTAAACCTACATGGACTAATGAAAAATTTCAAAACATTAAATAAAAAAAAGTTAAAGGAAGCTATGAGTATTAAAATCCCATTCATGCAAAAAAAAAAAGTCTGTAAGTGGATGCATATATGGAAAATATGCATAAATATTCAAATCCACAATAAAAGTCTGTAAAGATATACATATTGTAGTAATGGTAGTCGGTAGTTACCTCTGGCAAGTGAAATAAGAGAAAAACAGGCAGGGTTGTGTATACTTATACACAACTGTTATCTTGCACTGCAAATTGTGTAATTTTTTTTTTTTTTTGGAGGTACTGGGGTTTGAACTCAGGGCCTCACACTTGCTAAGCAGGCACTCTACCACTTGAGCTACTCCTCCAGCCCTATAATTTCTTTTTTTTTTAAAGACAGGGTCTTGCCAGGCACAGGTGGCTCAGCTACTCAGGAGGGAGAGATTAGGAGGATCATGGTTTGAAGGCAGCCCAGGCAAACAGTTCAGGAGACCCTATCTTGAAAAAAGATCATCACAAAAATAGGACTGGTGGAGTGGCTCAAGGTGTACACTCTGAGTTTAAACCCCAGTACCGCAAAAAAAAAAAAAAAAAAAAAAAAAAAAAAGACAGGGTCTTGCTATGTGTATATAGCCCAGACTGGCCTAGAACTCACATTCTTCTTGTTGTCTCAACCTTTGAGTGCTGAGATTATGGGTGTGCAACACCAGGCCTGGCTCTACTTGCATAATTAAAAAAAAAAATCAATAAATATGGGAAAACTTAACTCCCAAGCTTTTAGCATAGGCAATTATGAAGATATCACCTCCTTTCACTATGTTAAAGAATATAGCAGGTAAATTAAGTGTCAAATTATGCATTCAGGTTTTGATTTGATTAAATTTTAGAGAAATCTTGATACCTATCTTACACATAGTAAGATATAAGAGACGAGACTGAAGCAAAGAAAATTGGGCTAAAAACAGATTCAATAGTCATCAGCCTATGAGTGGCAACTGAAGTCATGGAAATACATTAAAGAGAATGTGATGTGGGAAAAAAGTGTGAAAGCCCTTTGCCAAAGAGCCACCTCAGCAAACTGGTTCAGGTAAGTAGTGAGCTGAAGCCGAAGAGTGAAAACAGAGAGCAAAAAAATCAGTTCTTGCAAGAAGCCTGAGGAAAGCAAAGAAAATTAGGTGGTAGTTAAAGAGAGCTTTGAGGAGAGCCAGGGAAGTTTTTCTTTCAAAAGATAAAAAAACAAGTACATTCACACAAGTTGAGAAGAATAACTAAAAGGTGAGGTTACACAGGAAAAGGCAAGGGTATGTGAACCAGAACATGTATTAGAGATGAGGCTCAGCTAGAAAGGATTTTTTCATAGAAACAAAAGGAAAAAGACAAGTGTGGGATAAAGAGAGTTAACACTTTTCTTCCATCTTTATACTAAAATAGATGAGAGAATCACCTGTTCACAATCAGACAGGATGGAGAAGTGCATTGAGTATGGCTTGGCAGGAGAATGAGGAGCAGAGCTGAAATGGGAGATACAAATTTGAATGATTACATTCTTCTAAAAGCTCTGCAGCCATGATGTAGCTGCAAAGGATGGGTTGTCAGTGCTATTTCAGATGGTAAAATGAAAAAGTCTGGGAGAGTGAGGCAACAGAAGGATGCTGAAGATTTCCAAGTATTTTTCCTAGCATCATCAATTCTAAAGACAATCTTTTACTTCTATCTCAAGTATTTACTTACAAGGGGATAGAAAAAAAAAACAAACTGAAACTAGGTCTTCTTAAAAATAGTTCCTTTGCTCTGAGTATAACTGCTCTGTGATGAGATTATTTTAAGTAAATTTTATTTTTGGTCATTGGATTAGTTTGTAAGTAGAACCGTACTAAATCTGGATGTAATGCTAGTTTTATACTTAATTTAGGGCAAAAGAAGTTTACGTAATTTTTTATATCCAAATCAGTTATTAAACTAAGGACTGTGGAAGTAGCTCAGATGTAGTGTGTGAGCTTAGCATGTATAAAAGGTTGGATCGCTAGCACCACACAGAAAAATTAAATTAAAGAAGTATCTATGTAAGTATAAGGAGAGAATTAGAACAGACTACAGACAAAATGGGTACAGGTGGCTCATCCCTCTAATCCTAGTTACTTAGGAGGCTGAGATTGGGAGGATCATGGTTTGAGGCTAGCCTGGGCAAATCATTTGAGAGACCCCATTCCCAAAATAACCAGAGCAAAATGGACTGGAGTTGTGGCTCAAGCTGTAGAGTACCTGCTTTCTGAATTCAAACTCCAGTTCCACCCAAATACTTTGTTAGCACTTTTAGAATATTACTTTTGAAATGTAAAACAAATAAGCAAAAACTGTAAGTATAAAAGCAGCCACCAATTTGTGGAGAATTTCAAAGGACCAAATCATTGTTGGATACTGAGGTTAACCTAAGTATATTTCACAGATATTTTTAATTTTTGGGGGGTTGCTGGGGATCAAATTCAGGACGCTGTGGTCATTAAGCAGGTCTTCTACCATTCAGTTATATCCTGAGCATCACTGCTACTTTTTTTTTGAGACAGGGTCTCACTATGTAGTTCATGCCATCTTCAAACTCCTGATTCTCCTACTTTAGCCTCTCAAGTGCTGAGATTACAGGTGTGAACCAATACCCCCAGCTCATTGCCTTTAACATAACCCAAATGGAAAGAGCTTTATTATTTCCTCACATACACACACACACACAGAAAATTATAAAATATTAACCAATGAGGAAAAAAAAATCAAAAAGAGATTACCTTGTCTTTTGATTGTCCTTGTCGAGCAATTGCATCATATTTAATTTTTCCTTCAGGATCTACCTGAATGGCCAGTGCATTTGACATTTTTTTCTTTCGTCCCATATCCAGTGGATATTGGGCCACATGGATCTCTGGAAAAGCACCTCCATCTCCAAAATCCTGCACATTAAAAGTAAAATGAATATTTAATAGCAACTAGAGATTCAAGATATATTTGTTCAACAAATCATTACTAAGTCCTTAGTATGCTAGATGCTATTGAACAAAACAAAGGTCCCTGATCTTGTGGACTTTACATTCTAGTGGGTAAAGATACACTCTTTCATTCATAGCTAGTGCCATAAAGGTAATACTGGTGCTGGGAAGAAATAGTACTTTCAATAGGGTGGTTGGGACAGCCTTTGTGAAAAAGTAGCATGTGATCTCAAGCCTCAGTGATGAGAAAGCAATCATGAGAAGATATGAGGTAAGTATTTTCTAGGAAGAGCAAACAGCAAGTGTGAAGGTCTTGGCTGCAAGAATAAACTTATTAATCCAGTGGGGTTAATCACTTATTGAGAACACAGGAGATGACACATAGGTTGTGTGTAGATTAACACCAAATTATGCAGGGCCTTCTAGGCCATAGCAGAGAATCTGAATTTTTATGTATGTGGCAGGAAGAAACAAAATGTTTAGGACAAAGCAGACTTTTAGTACACACACGCACGCACACACACACACACACACACACACACACGAGCTACATTTCGGGGTAGAGATGCAAAGAAAAGTTTAGATTTTATTAATGTGATGATCATTTATTCACTACTATCTGAAAAGCAAATAAATAAATAGAAAGGACCTAGAAATGAATTACCTCATTTGTTTGTTCTTTCTTTGATGCTGGGGATGGAACCCATGGCCACGTGCATGCTAGGATACTAGCCAAGTACTAACCTATATTCCCAATCTGAAATTGGGAATTTCACATATACTTTAAGACACTGATTTCCCAAGGCCTCACAAGATCTGGGACTTTAACCCAGATCTCGAGTCCAAAAGCTTTGTTTTTCCTACACTCTGAAATACCTCTCTAGTTCAAAACAAACAAAATATGCGCCAAGTCAGTAGAAGCTGAGCATCCCTAATGTGAAAATTCAAAATCTAAAACTTTTTGAGCACCAACATGATGCCCAAAAAATTTTACATTTTTGCATTTCTCATTTTTGGATTAGGGATGCTCAATTGGTAAGGTTTTTGCAAATATTCCAAAATCCAAAGAACTCCAAACTCTGAAATATTTCTGGTCCTAATCATTTCAGATAAGGGATACTCAACCTGTACTAAGAATGACAGGAAAAATATTAAAATCAGGGGGGAGTTGATGGAAAAAATTATTTAAAAAAATCTACTTTTACAAGACTTCTTTACACAATATTTCATTAGATCTAGAGTTCCTAGTTACAACATGCTTATATACTAAGGAAAAATTTGAAAATTTTAAAGACCAACAGAATAAAACAGAAAGATATATTCTTATTAATTAAGCAGAAAGTTAAAGCATTCCTAAGAAAAGTGCTTCCTGTATCCAGAACATCAATTTGACACATGCTCAGATTTGCTAAAGTTCTTCAAGTAAAATAAGCACTTCAGAACTGTAGCTATAGCATTATGTGGTCATTAAGCTTGCCAGAAAATCACAGCTTTTACTCTGGAAACTAGAACAAAATGCCTTCTTCCACAGAACATTTACTCCCCTCAAAGCATCCATGGAATTTCCAGATTAGCTGGCCACTTTAGTTTGATTTTCAAATAAACTGTTCTGTTCTACCAGGATATATGAAACCTTTGATAATGAAGATTTTAAAAAGCTAACAGCCACTGAATGTCAACAAGCTGAAATGCAAGCATGAGACTTCATTGTATGTAAAATGAAGCCACTACTTCCATTCTATAATCTATTGAGGCCAAAAAAAAAAAAAGGTATCTATAACCTCTCAAAAGACACTAAAGTCCTCAATTATATTATATAATGCCAATGACTACCTTTTTGCTACTGATAGAGGGCATTCCAACCTCCTTGATCTTTTATCTCATTGTTTCTCACAACTTACACTACCAGAGAGAACATAAGCAATAAAAATCCCTTAATAATGATAGTAAGACTGGCCTTTACACACTAGAATTTAGAGTATGGAGGACAGATGAGAAAAAAAATAGATAATATGTTAGCACAGATATAATGTAGTTGAGTGTTCATTTTCTAGGTTCTGCAAAGTCTGGTAGACAAGGGGAATGACAAACATGGGAGAAACAATCAGGTGCCATAGCCACTCAGGAGGCAGGCAGGGACCAGGAGGATCGAGGTTTGAAGCCAGCCCAGGCAAATGGTTCGAGAAATCCATTACACACACAAAAAAAGGGTTGGTAGAGTGGCTCAAGGTGTAGGCCTAGAGTTCAAGCCCCAGTAGTGCAAAAACAAACAAAAAAACCAAAAACATGGGAGAAACAGAATATAGGTGGTTTCTCATAGGATTCTAAGCAACAAGTTTCAATTCAAAGAACATTATAATTACCACTTGGAGGTAGATGACAAAAAAGCAAGAGCCTTTTCATTTGTGAAGTAAAAGTCATAATCACATAAGGATAGAATATAAGAAATACAAGAAAGTGATACAACAAAAATGAATCATGTAGACTCTTCAGATTTTCACTAGGACACAAACATTCCTTGGGGCATGAAGGAAAATTTGTAGGATTCAGAATGAATATTGGGAAAAGGAGAAGAAAAAGGCTTCATGAAAGTAGAGGAGGTGGAGGTTCTGTGCAAGCCAAATAAATAGTCTCAAATGTTTGCTTTCTCCCTACATAAGATGGCCAAACATGGGAAGTTTCCTTGGAATCAGGGAAAGACACATGCACTAAACTGATGTACAGGATCCTGGGTAATGAGAAGAAAAGGTGCTAGCAAGCGTCATTTCAGATTGCTCCTTCTCTCCTATTTCCTTCAATCATCCATCAAATTTTGTCTCTCACATTTCCTAAAAATTTAACTAATCTGTTTATCATGTACAATTAATATTCTCAAATTACAGATATAAAAACCACTTTGATCATTCCTTTTTTCTCTTACTTTCCCATTGTTGTTTATGTACTATAATTCCTAGATTTATAAAGAGTATGTTTGTTCCTTTTGTACACATTTAATAATTTGGTGTAAAAGCCAAAATGGTTCAGTTCTCTAGCAATCACAGATAAATCTTCCAAGGAAAGTGTATGTCTTCAAAGCTCAGCAGCTCTAAGTTTTTTGCTAAACTGGGGTTTGAACTCAGGGCCTACACCTTGAGTCACTCCACCAGCACTTTTTTGTGATGGGTTTTTTCCGAGATAGAGTCTTGCAAACTATTCGCCTCATCTCTGCTTCCCGAGTTGCTAGGACTACAGCCACTGGTGCCCGGCTAAATGGAATTATTGTCTTAGTTTCATTTTGGGGTTGTTAATTGCCCATGTATATGATTTTTTTTCTTTTTTTGGACAGCACTGGGGTTTGAAATCAGGGCCTCACACTTGATAGACATGCTCACAACCAAAATTTTTATCACGCTAACATTAATAATCAGGGGACTCTAGGGTTTAAATTTATTTTACAAGTGGATTATAATAAATTTCAGTACAATTTAATAAATTCAAACAGAATATCTATATTTACCTCTAACAAGCGAGGTATCCAGCCTTTCCGGTACCCGTATGGGGGAGGTTCTCTTCTAGAGGATACCAGTGAGGTCTGCCGTGATCTTTGAGATCTTGCCTTTTCTTCAGCTTCAAGTTGGTCCTGAGATAGCTGAGTAGGTGCAGGTAAAAAGCTATAGAAAATAAAAGTCAGAATTAAGAAACAAAAACAAAAAGACCTTACATTTGGTTATTGCAATTTGACTATCAGATGATTTTCCTCTGAGCAACCAAAAACAGATTTGTCATTGATTTTTAATAACTCTTGAATTACCATCTTTGCATCACTATAGCATTCCTGCCTTTACATAAACAAGCTATCTCAAGATCATTACATTTGCTATTCCTTTTGTTATAAAATGTTCTATTTACTTACTAAGAATAATTTTTCCTATAGAAGGCTCTTCCCCAGATCGCTTAGCAGTTTGCACCATAGCACTCGTCTGCCCAATTATCATTCCCTAGAGTTTTCTGACTACCTTGCACCCCAAACTTTTGAGGCACTCTCTAACTCATAATCTTATCCTTAGCACTTATCACCATTATTGATTTTACTTGTATACAGTCTGTCTGTCCTACTGGAATGTAAGCTCATGAAGCTAGGGAGAGTAAAGATACAGGAAAAAGTTTCTCCTGCCATCTCACTGAACAATCAACACATACATAACAAACACCAATGTATGGGGCATTCTCCAGCACCCACCAGTTAGGTGTGTTCCAATTCAACTCAGTTCTGACCCTATCTAACTGAAGACAGTGTCAGTTCCCACGGGCTAAGGGCTCAGTCCCTCAAGAATGTCTCTACTCCAGATGCCAACTGTAAGTCTGGACCACCGTACTTCTGACCCAATGGCTAAAAACTGGGGTCCCCTGCATTCTCTTTTTGGGTTGGATTCATTTGCTAGGCCAACTCACAAAAGAAAAGAAAAAAAATCAACTAACCAAACATCAAAACCCATTTGTTTACATTTACTGGTTTTTATGGAGGATATTACAAATGATACAAATAAAAACTCCATAGTCCTCAAGACTGGCCATTTAAAATTGCATTATGCCATTATAATGCTAACAGTACCCACCATATCTCTGGCATTGTTCTGGTGTATCCATTTCAAATTCCACCTCTTCCTTCATTACCCTACTAATCTGTATCACAGTGCCCAGTACCTGGAAGACACTCAACATTTACTAAAGAAAATTCTTCAGTCTATACAGCTCATTTAAATACTTTCGGCACCAATTCTAGTAATAAAACACTCATTCTGTCCTGTTCTTTGTTATATCTGTACATCCACTGTCCCACTTTCCCTGAGGCCAAAAACAGATTTCCTTCTGTATACACAGTCCTTTGGGCAGAGGAAGGCAGTGAACAGTCATTTCCTGTAGGCTAAAACATTTTTAGGATTCATACAGTTACCAACCACAAAAATACGCGAGGACAATGAAGTGTGGTAAGGAGGCTCCAGTTGATATCCTACGATAATTTCTTTCTTTTACACCTTCTTTAATACCAGACTTTCCTGTTGAGTTCTCATGGAAAGTTTTTCTACTTAGATGGAGAAGTTAGGTTGCGGGTTAGGAGTTACGTAACTTCTCGGACTCACTCACTTAGCATCTTTTTCTTAAAGGCGAGGAACGCTTTACATACCGTAACCAAGGCAACCGGGAACACAAAAATCCGAGGTGGTTCTATCTACCGAAGAAATTCTAAGCGCCAAAGTAAACTGCTGAACAGCAGTGTGTGTTAGTAAACAGCTGCCACTACTGCGGCCAACTTAATTCCTTGTTCAGTTCCAGGATCTTTATTTTTTTTTTTTTATTTTCGAGAAACAGAATGGCAGGAGAAAGGAAAGACTACCGTGGACAGCCCGCCAGAAAGCCGCGCAGTCGCCTCCCGCGCGCTCGGTTCAGCGCGGCCAAATAAGCCCGATCGCGTGCCCTGAGCCGCGGGCCTGCGGGAGCAACTCTCCAACCAAGCTTTAAGCCAAAGACACGTGAGACTCGTCCGCGCGGGACCACGCCGCGGCTCTCGGCGCCGGCAAGGGGGCGAACTCAACCAGGGAAGCTCTTCAGGAAAGACCCCGGCTTCGGAGCGGCCTAGTCGCCGCGGCGGCCGGCCAGAGAGTTTAGCCATAGTCGCGGCCCACGATGCTCTGGGCCCTAGCCCAGATCGCTGTCCGCAGAGTGCCGTCAGAGAAAAGAAAAAGATGGGTACCTACAGACCGTTCCGTATAGAGGACCCGAATCAACAACCCACCTGGTGAGCGCCATCTTCTTCCGCTTCTTCTAGCGCGAGCGACAGCGCCACGGGGCGGGTCTTTCACGGCGACCAGGAGCGGAAAGGACAGGGCACGCAGTGCGCAGGCGGCTTTGGCCGAAAGGCCTTCTGGGATTTGTAGTTCTTTGAACAGGCTACACTTCCGTTTCGTTCTGTTCTGACCAAACCAAGCAGTTATCTCGAGACAATCCTTTAAAGTCAACGGATTACGCATACTCTATGACTTGACAGAGCGTTCCCTAGGCAAAATACCGAAGTCGGAGGGAGATGCCTTTTAAGCCGCTTTATTTTACTCTTCACTCGGTCCCAAATACAAAAGCCCTGGGGGACAGCAACGTTAAGTGAAAGGGTGACAAGGTTTCTTAAATGATAGGAAATCATAAGATAGGTGAGTTTTATGTACGCATATGTACAATTATATATAAACCACATGTAATTGTATGTTATATATAATTGTGTGAGACTTAAGTGAGATTATGTACTCAACTCCAAAGTGCTATATAAATATATTAGTTCTGTCGGGCGCAGGTGGCCATTTCTGTCATCCTAGCTACTCAGGAGGCAGAGATCAGGAGATCGGGATTTGAGACCAGCCCGGGCAAATAGTTCGCGAGACCCTATCTCAAAAATACTCAACACAAAAAAGGGCTGGTGGAGTGGCTCACGGTGTATGCCCTGAGTTCAAACTCCAGTACCAGCAATTACAATTAATATTTTGATTGACAGTGATCTGCTGTAACCTCTGCTCCAGGAATGTATTATTTCTCAAAAGAGAATAAAAGAGAAGCAAATTAGAAAAGGTCCCAGAAGCCAAGATCAAGGAGCTTAGATTTAATTCAGCAGATTTGGAGCTGAAGGACTTAAGTAGAGGGCCTGGGTCAAAGAAACAGGCAAAAAAGACAATTCTTGGTGGAGACTGAGTTTCTATGGCAATGAGAGACAAAAGAGGCCACGGAGGAAAAGGTTAAAATAGTTAATATGAGAAATCAGTAAGGCATAGACCAAGACCTGGAATGTAAGATTGAAAGGGGTAGAGAAGAGCTCGCACAATCGATTCTTATTTTCCATTGAGGCATACCATGCCAGGTGTTTTCACCAGTCATCCCCCAACCCCCGCATTATCCTTGGGGTGTACAGAGAATAGCAACTGACTCTAATAGCAATTTTAGCATATCATAATTAAAGCAAATCCACAAAAATGACTTCCCCAAAGGTCAAGTGCTTTGTTTGGTTTTGTGGGGCAAGAGGTTTGGTGTTGGGTTGTGCTGGATCTTCCTTGCTCATCCATCCATCCATCATTACCAGGTAATTAGCAGCTGCTTAATCATAATAGAGAGCTCAGTGCAAATTCAGAATTGGTGCTGCACCATGGTGCAAGAAACAACTCATTCCACTCTTGGAATTCCCAACAGAGGGTGGAATTTATTCTCAGTCAGCCTTTGTGGCCTAACTTGAGTCCTATCTAGCTGTGGTTGAATGGCCACAAGTAACATAACTTTTGAGGTGATAGGATGAGCAGGTAAGCAGAGGTTCTGCTTTTACTTCTCATGGGTTCCCACCCCAGCTCCCCAGTTGAATAGCAGTGAATCTCAGGGAAGTCACTTGACTTCTGCCTCAGTTTTCTCTCTAAGGGAAAAAAAAAAAAAACAACAAAGTAAGTATAATTTATTCTCATAAAGTTTTGGCGAGGATTAAATGAATTAATCTTGTAATAAGTTTAGCATAGAGTAAGCACTCAAAAATAATTATGGTTTTCTGGGCTTAATTTAACTGCCCTTAAGATTTATTAAGCTTCAGGTTTTGCATCTGTAAAATGATGCAGCTGTACTCAATTATATTTCTGGGGTACCTCCCAACTAATGTTCTGTTGCATATGATGGAAATAAGAAAATTGATTAAAGTATGACTTCACAAATCACATGACTTATTGGCTTTTTCTTAGGATCACAATGCCCAAAGAGGGGGAGAATAATGTGAACAAATTTCACAGGGCATATACTTGATGGACAGGGCACATTAGCTACATGAGTGAGTTCCAAAATTACTAAAGTCCAATTGCTCAATTAGGTGGATGCAGGCCTTTGTGGAAAGTGAAGTCTAATTAAAATTTGGGCTGTATGATTGATTCTTGGGAGAAGCTGGCTTGACCACCATAAGGGAGATCAAAGACACTTGACACATGAAGTCCTTCCCTACTGGAGGATGATGCAAGTATTGACAGGTGAGGTCTCAAAGTTCCAAGGCCAGCTGAAGCCTGAACTCTGCCTGCAGAGAAGTGGTTGACAGTGCAGTCCTGCACAGCCTAGGCTCTCAAAGTGTTGGTCAACCCTTGAATTTATATTCACTTTGAAGTCCAATAGTTGAAGTCAGTAACTCACATAAGGGGTGGCTCAATAAGGCTTGATGTAATATCTTTAACAGCAAGGAGAGTTTATCTACTCTCAGAAGAAGAAGAGGTAGTACACTCCAAGTTCTCATATACAGGATCTGATAAGTTGTCTACTCTTTTTATTTTTTTGATAGTACTGGGGTTTGAACTCAAGGCCTTGCACTTGCTATGCAAGCACTCTACCAATTGAGCCATGTCTCTAGCCCTTTTTGTGTTAGTCATTTTTTCAAAATGGGGTATTGCGTTTTTGACCAGACTGGCCTGGACCATGATTCTCTTATTTACACCTTCCACATAGCTGGGATGGCAGATCACCCATCTTATTGGTTGAGATGGAGTCTAACTTTTTGCCAGGTTGGCCTTGAACTTTGATCTTCCCTATTTCTGCTTCCCCAGTATCTGAGATTATAGGTGTAAGCCACCACTCACAGCTGCCCTCCCAATCCTTAAAAAAGTTTTATACCAAAGTATTGTTTTGCATTAAAGTATAGTTGGAAAGGCTAAACCCCAAGATTAGTAACTGCAAAAAAAAAAAACAAGTAGTTTTACATTGGAGAGATCTGGATGTCGTTACTTTACATCATTAATCCTGAGGCAGTCTGACATTAGGTGCTTCTGGTAGGAATTTCTCCAATTTTTTAATTAGGCCAGACCTAACTTCCAGTCCACAAGAAATTCAGGGAGTAGACTAACAAACAGCATGAGGATACAATCAGAATAATCTGGAATGTGAGACATTCTGTAAGACAACTGGCCTATGCTCTTCAAAATGTTAATATCATAGCATAGTTGGCAGTAGAATTGATGAAAAGAAACTAAGAGACATAACAAATGAACTAACTGAACCTTGATTGGATTCTGGTTCCACTGGGGAGAGCTATAAAAGATATTTTTGGAGGCCGGGTATGGTGACACACTCCTTTAGTCCCATTATATGGGAGGTTGAGGTAGGAGGACTGTGAGTTTGAGGCCAGCCCAGGCAAAGTCAGTGAGATCCTGGTTCAAAAAACAAAATTGGGGCTGGTGGAGTGGCTCAAGTGGTAGAGTATCTGCCTACAAGCTTGAGGTCCTGAGTTCAAACCCAAGTACTGCCAAACAAAACAAAAAATATTCATGGGACATTTGGAGAAATTTGAATATGGGCTGGTAGTATAGTACATTATGGATGTTTTGCTATTTTTCTTAGGAGTATTATTGTGTGATTTCCTTTATATAAAATGTCCAAAATAGACAAATTCAAGGTCACGAAAGTGAATTGGTGGCTGCATAGGGCTAGGGTGGAAAAAGTGACTGATAATTAACAGGTATGAGGTTTTGATTTTTGTTTTTTGAGTCTTGAAAAATTAGATAGTGGTGATAGTTGCACACATCTGTGAATATGCTAAAAAAAAGCCAATAATCTGTAGACTTTAAAAAGGTGAATTTTGGGGCACCCTCTTTTGTGGCTCTACTCTTCTACTTTACACTTTTCTATCTCAATAAACTCTCCTTTACGCCTTAAAAAAGGTGAATTTTATGATATGTGAAATATATCTCAAATGCTAGGGGCATAGCTCAAATGGTAGAGTGTTTGCCTAGAAGTCCATGACCCTGGGTTTAATCCATCTTGGGGGGGAGGGAGGGGGAGGGAAAAAAAGAAATCTCAATAAAGCTGTAAAAGCAAAAAAAAAAAAAACCCGCAATGAGTAAAATGAACAAGTAAGTGAATAAAAGTATGACATAGTATCCCTTTATTCATTTTTCCCAAATGATATTTAGAATTATTTTGTTAAGTTCTTAAAAAAAACTATAGGCATTTGATTGGCATTGAGTTGTCTATAAATGAACTTGGAGAGAGCTGATTCCTTTACAATTTAATGTCTTCTCACTCAGGCTACTGTTTAGGTTTGACTTATTCAAATCTTCTTTTGCATCTTCCAATAACATTTTAAAGTTGTCTCTCCATAGATTGTACACATCTCTTAGGGTATGAATTCTTATGTGTTCAATTTTTTCCTATCACGAATGCAATCTGTTCATATACGGTTACTAAATATAGCAGTAATTTTTATTAAGCAAATCAGAAACATTCTGAAAAATGTCAGTCAATTTATGGTCAGAATCAAGTTTTTCCTGCAGATGACTTAAAGTTAGGGTTACCTTGTGTTTGCTGTAATGTGTTCCTGTCTCCTCTTCCTGAGACTGAGCAGTCATTTGAGCAGATGAATAGGAAAGCAGCTTTGCTATCAGCTACTTCCTCAGCAGGCTCTGAGATTTCCTGTTCAAAAGCACTGTGAGACCTGCTGACCCCATTTCTTTCCAGATTTAATTATTTCTTTCGAAAGTGGGCTCTAACCTTAAGGGGATGTGAAACACAAGTGGGAAAAGAAGCTTTAGGCCCAAGGTAAGTCTTCCTTTTTCTATTGTACAGCCTGGCAGGGGAACAATTTGCCCCTTGCTCTGAGCTCTGTCATTTGTTTTGATCGTTTTCATTGCTGTCAAGTGTGATGTTGACTCAGAAGGCAGCCATCTGAAATCCGAAGTGACTTCTTACATTCCTTCCTTCTTTTTTCTCTAGTAACGAGATAGATATCATACCGGAATGTGCCTGTTTGCAGGCTAAGGAGCAGTAGTGTGGG